CAAGAAATTTTTTTAGAAAAAATGATTCCACAGAACCGAAATGTGTTTATTTATTAGAAGTGGGAGATGAAGTGAGAAGAGCGTAAAGTTGAGCATAGGTATAAACCCAAGTAAGTATTTTTGCTATGAGCTGTATACGAACAAATATTCTCCAGGAGTCTGCAGTGTTCCTTTAATTATGACAAACAGAATTTCAAACTAATAAATATCTCAGATGAAGCTTTACTGTTTCTAATGGAGTGAAAATCTACAAAAATATTTTTGTCTCTATTTTTCGTGAATCTAATCTCAGGCTTTTATAACACAGTTCTACATCCTCGTCTTTTATCATCACTGAGTCAAACTTTCCTCATTGGTATTCACCAGACCTCGCCTGGTATTTGAGAGCTGAATTTCCCATCACTCAGTTTTACTAGGATTGTCTAGCTCTGAAATGCCAGCTCTCCACTTTCTGCCTATAAGTAATCTGCAGAAAAACAGGATTTTGACAACATTCTGGACCATTAGTTACCTGGAGATTTTTTAAAAAAAATCAAGCACCATGCCAATGAGTTATTGAAGATAGAGTTACAATGTAGCTACTTGAACAATTAATCCTGACAGGTCCATGGGCATAATTTGTTCAGGTGCAGCATGAAAATTAAATACTGTGTAAATCGTCCAAAAAATCAACGTTCTTTTCAGCTGCGAAAATGTTTTCTTTTTTCTCAATATTTACCTGGTAGACATAAAATCTAATTATATGCACCAGCTACATTAAGAAATTCAACAATGCTGCTTTATATTTCAATCTATCTAATCAGCTATCTATCTATCTATCTGTTAAATATTCATCCTCACCTTGTGGTATCTCCGGTAGTAATTGCTTTCCTGACAATAACGGAAGTGCCGCTCAGCAGCTATGCGCCAGTATACCTGACTCCTGCAACATGTTGGTGGATGCTGGCCGCTGCGGATCCACGACATTTTATAGCCCTACGTATACCCATGGTGATGGCGACATCAACGTGCGTGTGACATCACACAAAATACTCACACGCACGTTCTAGAGTCAAAGGCCGGTTACGGCCAATCGGATCTGTAGAAGGCTTATTTAAACACATTTTTATTTCTTCTTATTGCCCTGTCGTGGTTTCCCCTAGACGGTTATCCGAGAGTGTGTTCCTGATCGTGTGTTTCTGGTTTTTACTTCCCTGACTTCTGGTATCCTTGATTATTGGCTTTCCCTAATCGCTGTGTTCCCTTCTGTGTCCCTGACCTTGACTAGTATATTGACTTTTCTTAGTTACGTTACGTCCGGCCATTCTAAGGTCCGGTTAGATGTTACCCTTAGTCATAGGTATCACACAATTCTGCATGCTGGATCAACTGTAATCCTGACACTATCTATCCTCATAAACATGCAGTATGTAGGCACTGATTTAGTGTTATTTACTAAAGGGAGAATACAAAGTAAATTTAAAATTTAAGGTCAGAGTAGCCAAACTAAAAGCATAGCTGACTTGGGCAATTTTCCAGTTCAGCTCTTTTCAACTTAAACTTAAAATTCACTTTAAATTCACCTTGTATTTTCATTTTACTGAATGTTAATCTCAGGCTACCTTTATGACCTGTCCTAATGTTTCTAATACCCCACCTCGTATAGTCTGTAAGCTCGTTTGAGCAGGGTCCTCTTCAACCTATTGTTCCTGTAAGTTTTCTTGTAATAGTCCTATTTATTGTTACATCCCCCCCTCTCAAAATATTGTAAAGCGCTACGGAATCTGTTGGCGCTATATAAATGGCAATAATAATAATAATAATAATAATAATAATAATAATAATAATGACATACGTGTTCTGACCTAGCAGATGCACAACAGCTGCTATTTTTCTCCTGCCACAAATCAATTCAGTCTCTTACCATTAAAGATATTGCAGAATTGGAATGGAGGAGACAAAAAAAAGGACCATTCTCTCTCCCCAGTTCCACTGCTGCTTTCTGCAGCTGAAAGTAGCATGTGTATCCCAGTGTTGCCAAAACCCCAATTATAAAAATGTCATTTAATCTAAAAGATTCATAACACGTGTATTAGAAGAACATAGTGTCATCTCAGGGCTCTGTCTCCAGAACCGCCTGATTGCAATACACATTTCTCACTTATGTATCTAAAATATTAGCTTGCCTTTCAATAGAAAGACAGCTTTGCCTCCAGATTTGTTCGATGAGGTTTGTCTTGGCTAAATCGGTAGACCTTCTCATATGTTATTCTAATTTCTATACTCAAGATCTAAGGAAGTCATTAGTCAAGCCAGCTCCTCAAGAAGATCAAGGTGTCCAGAAATGAGTAATTTAGATAGGATTTTATTTCTTGTTTTACTTTGCTATTGGTAACTTTAAATGGGTTTGCATTTAAATTAAAGCTAAAGGTATTACCATCTGTTAGATGTTAAATTAAAATCTTTATGCTAGAACCCCCTGGCCATCAGACAGGAAGGTGTGAACTAATTATTTTTCCAGTGGGATTTTTAAAATGTTTCTGAAAATTTATAAGATTGTGGATTTTTAGTTTTTATTATATAATTGCATATAGAAAATAGAAAATTCTCAGCCCCCTCTAAAAATATCACCAGTCATCACTGAATTACCCCCCTTCTGCAGTGGTAATGAGGTATAATGATCTCAAGTATTTTTGGTTTATCATATTGATGTTATAACTAAAAAAACAAAGGTGCAACATTCATTGTTTTTCTATGCTACTAAATAAAAATATTTCATAAGTTCACATACTGTACAAAAGATAAAGTATGTTTTCAAAGACAAGCATATTGAATATGTTCCTATCAAGATATATCTATAAATCACAAAGTCAAAACATATATCAGATGAGTTAAACTATATACAGACCTATCTTTAGATAACAGAGTCATAGTATATAGGGACATTCTCAGCTATCAGAGTCAAAATATATACAGACATTCTTAGATAACAGAGTCAAAGCATATACAAAGCAGATGACAGTAAAAGTAAACAGGTATATGTTGGCAGAGTGGAAGCATGCACGGCAGTCTTCCAGAAAGTCTCTTTGAACAATTAAGGCAATTAGTTTTTAATTGCCAGGTAAAATATTGAACTGATGTTACTCAAGTGGTAGTAGTGGAAAATATAACTTGGAAAAAAAAAATATTTAATAAACTTTTCACCAGAAGCAGTAGGAGTTAATACAACAGGCAAAAGGTGGTACTAGGCATACAATAAAACCAATGACCGATTGAGATTTAAGGAAAATGGGTGGCAGTAATAGGTCATGTTATTTCTCATTAAATTATGGCCGCAATTTAATAAGGTTTTTTTTTTAAATTTTTTTAAATGATTCAATAATGTTAGAAAAAACATTCCAAATTATGTATCCACAAAAATTTCCATAGACCTTCATGGTGACTTCTGTAGATAAATCATTGGAAAAATGTTCTGACAGCATTAAATCATTTGGAAAATGTATTAAATCAAGGCCTATATTAATTGAATTATATTGGATGTTTTCACCATATCATAATCTTGATTTCCACTCTGCAATGTCGACAAATGTGCTGAAAAACAGGTTTCTTTTTTCCATCTGAACTTTTTAGCCTAAATTTAAATTGTAAATTATGTTGACAAAAAGAGTGCAATCGAGTTTTAAATATATAGCATTACATCATTAACATGTTTTTATTTTCATTTTTTCATTGTATGGATTAAATGCAGAAAGAAGCAAAGCAAAAAAGTGACAATTTGCATTTTCAAACTCTTATTTTGATTAGGGGATAAAAACAATGTTATTTGATATGTTATAGTTTATAAAGGTGAGCTAAACTTGATTAATAATTGATAACATTATACAAATATATTCGGGGCCAATACAAACCATTGTGTGGAAATCTATTCACAAACCGGACTTTACATAGGATACGAGGCCATGCGTTTAGACTGGAAGAAAGAAGATTTCGTCTAAGGCAAAGGAAAGGTTTTTTTACTGTAAGAACAATCAGGATGTGGAATTCTCTGCCTGAGGAAGTGGTTTTATCAGAGTCCATACAGATGTTCAAACGGCTACTAGATGCATACTTGCAAGAACAGAATATTCAAGGATATAATCTTTCAATGTAGGGTAATAACTGCTTGATCCAAGGATAAATCTGACTGCCATTCTGGGGTCAAGAAGGAATTTTTTTCCTAGCTTGTTGCAAAATTGTGCTTCAAACTGGTTTTTTTTGCCTTCTTTTGGATCAACAGCAAAAAACAAATGTGAGGTAGGCTGAACTTGATGGATGCAAGTCTCTTTTCAGCTATGCAACTATGTAACTATGTAATAAAATTTTAATATGTTTGTGGAGTTTAGAAAAAAATTATCATTCTTTTGCATTTTGGTCAGTGTATTTTAATGCATGTAAGGGGTTAGCCGTTTAAAATATATCCCAAAATATAATCAATCTCAGTGAACAAGTATTTATCAGTAGAGGCTGAAAGACACACATAGCATTAGAAATGTTGTGCATGTATATAGGGCCAGATTAACATAGGGAGTGATGGAGCTGCAGCTCTAGGTCCATGCCCATGGAATAGGCCCATTGATGTAAAAAAAATAATAATAATAAAAAAATAAATAATAATAATAATATATATATATATTGAATGCATGTCAAGCTGCCTGCCAATCACGCAGGCTGACCAACTAAGGACATACTATACAGACTGCACTGTGAGCTTGGCATAAATATGTGTAATGATGCATTCGCTCCACGCTTTCTAAGGACTGTTCCCTAGCATTACCTTGTCCACTCCTCTCCTTAGCTTTTTACTAGCAGGTTCAAGCTCCTGATATACAGTCTGGGACAGAGAAAAGGTGTAGTGAGTGAAGTAGAAAGGGAACATCCCACTGTGTTTTTTAGAGAGACCGAAGCAGCAAGAGTTTTTGCATAGTATGCAAAGTCAGCTTAACCTTACCTAATTTCATTGTGACCCATTCCACACAAATTTTGTTCCCCTACACCCCTCTTAACTTTTCAGGATTAAGCAAGAGCATATATATATACATATATATATATATATATATATATATATATATATATATATGCTCTTGCTTAATCCTGAAAAGTTAAGAGGGGTGTAGGGGAACAAAATTTGTGTGGAATTTGTGTGGAATGGGTCACAATGAAATTAGGTAAGGTTAAGAGCATATATATATACATATATATATATATATATATATATATATATGCTCTTGCTTAATCCTGAAAAGTTAAGAGGGGTGTAGGGGAACAAAATTTGTGTGGAATGGGTCACAATGAAATTAGGTAAGGTTAAGCTGACTTTGCATACTATGCAAAAACTCTTGCTGCTTCGGTCTCTCTAAAAAACACAGTGGCATGTTCCCTTTCTACTTCACTCACTACACCTTTTCTCTGTCCCAGACTGTATATCAGGAGCTTGAACCTGCTAGTAAAAAGCTAAGGAGAGGAGTGGACAAGGTAATGCTAGGGAACAGTCCTTAGAAAGCGTGGAGCGAATGCATCATTACACATATTTATGCCAAGCTCACAGTGCAGTCTGTATAGTATGTCCTTAGTTGGTCAGCCTGCGTGATTGGCAGGCAGCTTGACATGCATTCATGTCAGGCTGGCCTTCCAGTTTTTCAGCCAGACACCCCCCCATTCTGGTTATGTGTTTTGCATCAGTGGCCCAACCTTTTACCTTGCTCACCGACATGCTGCTTCACCAGATGCTGCTGTTAGGCAGTATGGATTTACTTGATAGATGAAATCGAGAGATTAGCATGGGGTATGTGTGTAGCAGAGCCCTTGTCCTAGCAGGGACCTTTCTCTGCTGGATCCACAAGAGTATAATCAGGAACAAGAAAAATGCCAAAGAAATAGCCCAACTCCTCCCCAGCAACTAGACAACACACAGTTCTGGGCGGATGTAACGAATGCTGGTATTTCATTACCCGTTCGCTTGGTTCCTCCCAAACTGTTAGGTATTCAGTGATTATAGCTCGCAGTTCGGGTGCTAATTCATACATTCCCAAGAATCAAAGAGCAGCATACAAGTAACTTCAGCAGTTCAACAATCCCTTCCCCAAACATCAGTCAAGACTAGATGAAGGGTACAACTCTGACAATCTTTTATTGGTGCACACAGCATAGCCACATGCAATGGGTCTTCATCCCAATCAAACAGGGGTCATATCCCAGGATCCTCCACAACTGGGAGCCAAAGGCGGGAAAAGAGGTCGCTGTCCCTTTGTCTCCCAGGTATGGAAAGCCTTTCCCTCAGGCGAGGGGTCACCCACACAAAACGACAGGGGAGCGTTCTTCATCCCAGGAGTCTATGTGCCTGGGAGCCCCAGATTGTGAAAAGAGGTCATTCCTTTGTCTTCCAGGCACAGAAAAGCCCACCAAACTGTGCCCCAATAGTGTTCCCACAAACCTCAGAAGAAGCCCTCACAGCGGCAGTTCCCCCAACCATTCTCCGTTCGCGGGGTTCCTGTGCTAAAACCTGCAAGGGAAGCATCTCCTTTTGGGGTACGAATGCTCCCCCTGGTTGGCGTTCGCCTATACAAAATGGCGGCACTCCTTAATTAATTACTTCCCTTGCAGTTTCACACTCATGTTGCAAGTGCGAACGTTCTGATTAATTGGTGGGAACGTTCTAATGGGGTTACCGGGATTGTCCCCATTCGGGAGACAATTGAGTTCCATTCGTATGAATGCTCCTAAATGGGAAAAAAAACATAACATACTAAAAAAAGCTAGGGGAAACACAGTAATTCAAAAGGGAAACACACAAATGAACGGGGCTCTGCTACAGGCATCATGCAGTTTCATCACGGAGTACAACAGACTTTGTTCCAGCCACACACGGCTTTTATACATTGCAGCTAGCATGGGATTTCTAGGTGAAAAATACAGGGCTTTTCTTCCTAGGATCCTCTTTGCCTGAGAGATAATTGCATGAAAAAAAGCTACAACTTAAATATCTCACAGGTGCAGAAAAATATACAATATTTTTGAACACCCCAAAAATTCATTTTAATACCTTCACAACCCCACGAAAGTCATATCACCGAATAGCTTGGATCTGAGCACACACTTTGTCGAAATATCCTTCAGATCCCTTAGTTGGTTCGGGAATGCCATTCAAATGAAGTTTTAGCCATGAGGTGATGCCCCAAAACAGTTCCAGAGTAAACAAGGCAACGACAGGTCATCTTTCGGGGGTTCTCTCACGCACACTGATGAATTAATTCCCTGGCTGTTAGGTAGTTTATGACTCCTGAACGCCGTCCTCCTAACAGGGGGAGCATTCATGCCCTAAGTGTTTGGGAAGTTGGATGGGCAGTTGTACCAGTTTCCCGGGTGTTTGCGGGGTCACGTATCTGAAAACAGTTCCACACTGTGGACGACCCTGTACCGTTGCCCGCGTTCAGGAGACAAAATAGCCGCCGATTGTGTGAACACGTGTGTTCGGTTTTACGAACGGCGGCCACACAGGGAAATTACTTGAACTAATAACCAATTTGTGATCAACAGCCAGGGTGGTTGGCGATTAAAAGGTGTGAACAATGGGCCACACAGCAAGGGGGTTCGGTACACTAATGGGGGTATACGGACAGTCGGACAAAGGGAATAAAAGTAAATTTGGGTTTTCCATTCCACTATGATGTGTTTTCTTTTCGTTGCATCCTGTGAGTTTCCCTCCAGCACCACCTCCACCAGATACATGGCACTTGGGAGGTATGACTGTTTTCTGTCGATAAGATTTTGTCATTAATCCCATCATAATTGTCATCACCAGGCCCTATGGGCTTCTTATCTTGTCCTGTATGTATGCTTTGGATTCAATCCTCCCCCTTACCGAAATTGAAATTAAAATGGGAGGCTCAGAGCAGAGTCAAGTGAAAGCCCACCTTCACTTAACTGCACCCTTTAAAAAAAGTATTTACTTCTTGGTCACTGTATAGCTCAATGACAGAAGGATTATATCTTTTTATATTCTCCAAGTGTCCCCATTATTTATATGATCAGAGGGAAGATTAGAGCTACATGTAGGAAGTCCTTCTGAACCCCCAAAAATAAATGAAAAAGTTAACATTATCATTGTATTATACAGTAATTAATGTATTGTTCACAGTGATCATGAATGCTAAATTGGTTTGAGGTAATGGCAGACACTGTCCCATCACCAACTTTCTCTCAAACCTAACTTTAAAAAAACAAAACAAAAAAATAGTTATTTCATGGCCATGAAGACGCCATGCCTCCCACTCATTCTCTACATAGCATGGTAGTGGCAGATGTTCAGTGGAGGCTTGGCCCCCATTCTGTCATGCCCTCTCTTCAATGGAGGATAAGGCTATAGTGAGAACTTGGCCTTGGCATGGGATCTCAAGTAGATTTATTTTTCTCGCTCTCTTTCAAATGTGTTTTTATTAAAACACTTTTTTGCGGTGGAGTTTTGGTACAGTCTATTTGATAGTCTACATATTTTTTTGAGCAAATCTTTGTAATCTTTTTTTTTTTTTAATAAACTTGGGTTCTTTAGCAGTTTTTCAGTAATGTGGGTTTTGGCTAATACTTTCAGGTTACTACACGTTTTTAGCACTGATTACAGTCTTTGGCTCAAGTTACACGTACTCAAACCAGTGACCAATAGTAAACATTGTAGGAGAATTGCGTGAAGCAAATAATGAATCAAGTAGAATTTACATGTGCCATGTTAAAATAAGGTTAGGGGGTCGGGGCCAAGCCAGCAAGCTGAGCAGTCGCATGAAAGCTGGGCCACCGCTTAACTTGACGATTTCCTACAGATACTCTCCGAACTCGAGACAAAAAGCAAACCGGAGTGCACTACCTACTTCAGGGGTGACCTTGTGACAAGCCTGATACTTTTCCCGAGCGTTTTGGAGATTAGGAGCCCACGGTGGATAGACGCGGCCTACAGATGGTGGAACCGGGGAGAGGCTGCCACTCTCCTCTCTCATACATTTGAGGTACAGACCCACTGACACCCTGCTCCCCCCCCCAGGACCGGCGGGTAATATCCTGGTCCAATTCTGAGAGGAAACCCTCCTGCAAAGGCCCCAAAGGTGGAGCCCTGCAAACAACGGGAAGAAGCGAAGCCAAGCAAAATGGCTGGCACCACATGTGCTCAGAACACAGAGAAGCCTGATCTGATGGCCAAGCTGGATGACCTAATAGCCAAGTTCTGGAGAACAATAGCATCCAGGGAGCAACATGCTAAGGTACGCAAACCTGCCACACACATACCCACAGTGTTGACGGTGACCTCCCAACACGGGCGCACACCTCCTCGAGCAAACAGAGCCCAAAAACGGCGCCGAAGACGGACAAGATGAAGGGCCTGCAAACCCACGTGACCGATGCTACCAATGGAGGTGCTCCGCCGCAACAAACACCCTGCAAAATCCAACCTACCAGCAAGACATGAAACAGGGACCCCGCAGAATCTACACCTTGCTCCACCCTGGGACCTGACACAGCCGAGGGGGCCCGAGTGGACCACATCGAGTCTCCTTTGCCATGTGGGGGCAGAAATGTTTAATCAGATGTATGGTAGGGGTATATCGCTTAAATATTGCAAGTATCCTCTAGGGATATCTCATGTGCAGTTAAACCAGTGTTTACCTTTTTAAAGATTCCGCAGCATGTCATAGCACACGTTAACCTGCTAAATTCTTAGCAAAAGTCAAAATAGCTTACTCTTGCAATAGCTAACTCCTGATTATTAACCCTTTAAAAAAATCTGCAAGTTCTATCAAATGTCCTAAATGTGCTTATATGCTTTGTAAGCTCTCCTGCTTTTTACTTGCTTTTGGGGCATGACAAGCGTGTATGTAACAATATGCACAGCAAAAAAAATAAAAAAAATAATAAGGTTAGATTGGGGTAGTTTGCATAGTTATGTGCTTAAGTTAAATCATGTAATAGGTAATTGTTTAAAAGATTTAAAATATTTAGTGTATGCTGCTGTCAGTATGTATGTATGTGTGTATAAATTAGTTTATTTATAATTTCAGGTCTTTTACCCAGCACGATCATTAAGTAATGCATTAAAAAAAAAAAAAAAAAATGTTCACTACAAATGGATATTCTCTTATGCACATACAATGCCTGAGTGAGCTTAATGGGGGTTGTAATTGAAAGCATACCCCCTTAATCATGACACCTAAACCCTAAAGTTTACAGTACGACCAAGTTCCTCTAATCCTCACTAGACTAAAACCCACTGCAGTACCCCAGTGATTACAACACCAGGTACAGTAATGTGCAGGCACTACACGCACTATAAAACATGTTATAACAATGCTTTATTCTTTTTAACCCCTTAAGGACACAAATTCAGAAATAAAAGGTAATCATGACGGAATATTTCGGTCACGTGTCTTTAAGGGGTTAAAGTGGCAATATTATAGTGTCCCTGGAATGATGGCAACATTATAGTAAAGCCATTTGCGGTCGACATTTTAAAGTGAACACTCCTTATAACAAAGCTGAGCTTGAGGGTATATGCTGCCGTATAGAACATCAATTAGTGAGAAGCTCGCTTTTGTATTTAGCGATTGAAACAAATTGGCAGTAAATTCTGTGATCTTTTTTTCTGCCGTACATAGAAACACCAGAAAACATCACATTGGGATTTATTGCGAGGCTCTGAGGCTACAACCAATTTCTCCTTAATTCTTCGACATGACAGTAGCTAGATAGAAGCAATACTTGCACATATCTTTATCGCCTACATAAACAAAATAATATTTTTTTCCCCCTTTCTTATTATATTCCATATTTATTCTTATTTATTTTTTCTATTTATAGTTTTATTGTTATTTAGAAGCAATGAATAAACCTCACAATAACATTTGTATATTAGATGTATACATTATATTTTGATCGATTGGTTTTGTTTTAAACAGAATAATGTGAACATGCAGCCATGGGAGACTGCTAGATACATATTCAACATGAAACAAATACATATATTGTTAAATAATTTAAAAAAAAACTCTTTGATGCAAACTATGACATAATTTCATGTACAGTTTTCATCTATAATTTAGAACAAACTTTCATTTTATGCACTGTATTCATCTATAGTTAATTCCCGCAGATATATATATATAGTTCTGTCAAGTCACCTTATTGTATTTTATATTATTAGTGATGCTAGTTATACCATTGGCTCACAACCACACCAGCCATGCCCTGCCTCTTCTCCTAATCACATACCTGCCAAAGTTGGTAAGTACGCATGTAAATAATAAGATTTATAAGCAATGGTAATAATGGGGTTATTTATTAAAGTGAGAATTCAAAAGACAATTTCTAATTTAAGGTCAAAATAGCAGGATTAGAAAAATTCTCGGTCAGCTATGTTTTCAGTTAGTTTAGTCTGGCCTTAAAGGGACACTATAGTCACCAGAGCAACTTTAGCTTAATGATGCTGTTTTGCTGTACAGATCATGCCCCTGCAGTCTCACTGCTCAATTCTTTGCCATTTAAGAGTTAAATCACTTTGTTTATACAACCCTAGACACCTCTACCTGCATGTGACTTGCACAGCCTTCCTAAACATTTCCTGTAAAGAGTCAGCTAATGTTTACACTTCCTTTATTTTAACTTCTGTTTAACTTAGAATTTCTCATCTCATGCTCTGTTAATTGCTTGCTAGACCCAACAGGTGCCTCTTGCATGTAATTAAAGTCCAATTTACAAATCTGGAGATAAAAACTTTTAAAGTTAGTTGCATCGGATTGAAAATTAAACTATTTTGTTTTCATGCAGGCTCTGTCAATCACAGCCAGAGGAGGTGTGGCTAGGGCTGCATAAACAGAAACAAAAGTGATTTAACTCCTAAATGGCAGTACATTGAGCAGTAAAACTACAGAGGTATGATCTATACACCCAAACAGCATCATTAAGCTAAAGTTGTTTTGGTGACTATAGTGTCCTTTTAAGTTTGAAATTCAGTTGAATTCTCACTGTAGTGAATAACCCTGTAAGACACAGGGCAAGTTTGGCCCTGTACACATGTACCTGGCCCAGAATGCATTGCAATGTGTCAATATGTTTTTTTTGTGGGTCAGATTTAGAAAGCACACATGCAAAATGCACAAGCAGAATGTAGTTGTGACCAGAGCCAGTTGTTAGAATAACCAGGACGTATTGTGTTGATAACTTCAATAATATTATAGATACTATTGTTCTCCAAACATACGTTTTACATAAAAAATATATGGAGTCAACACTTTATTGCTTTCATTCCGGAAATTTACAACAACTTTGTAAAACATTTTTGGTAAAAATATTCACCTACCAGGTATTTTAAGACTAATGGACAGAAATTATCCAATAAAATGGCAACTGAAGATGGATAAAAAAAAAATAGATTACAAAGAGTCTACTGTTAAACAATTGAGAACAAAATAACAAAACATAAAAAAAATACCACCTAAATAGTGTCACAAGATACAAAACAAGTGATGTGTGGGCAGGGGACTTTGGTATAAAATATTTTAAACCATTAAAATAAAGTGGTTCATTAACTCTCTCAGCTGAAGTTTCTCAGTGATTAGTTGCTTTACAAATACAGATTCTATATCTTCTTTGTCACAATAAATAAATAAATATATAGTTAAACTGCATCCTGACATTCCCTCAAAATGTCTCTGAATAACCCTGTAAGACACTTTTGGCCCTGTACTCGTATATCTGACCCAGAATGCATTGCATGTCCAGATGAGGTTTTTCCCCAAAAATGTATGAGCTTTGGATCAGTTCGTACAGAAGTCCAGTTTCATAAAAACTCTACCATGTCAGAGGAAAATAAAATGAGAACATTATTATTATAATCTATACATTGTGCTACTCAGATGTTGCTTCCATGAATGTATTTTAATGCTTAGCAGCTACTAGTGCAGGTGCAAATGCACTTTCCCCAGTGTATATTGCCATATACATGTGATAGCTTACAATGGATTGCAGATAGACACATATACACTGGGCCATGCTTCTCTATTGTGTGTAAATAACGCTATGCTTACATTTTATAGAAATTGCGAAGAAAACCATGGGTAACGTTAACTTAGACACTTTGAGTCTATGATGTTAGCCACCATCTGTGGGTTTTCTGTTCTCGACCCAGGAATTGGGAGCATAAGACTGACACTTCCTGTAGGTCCCTGGATGACTTATGTTCATGTCACCTTGTGCCTATTAAAAGGTGCAGGATGTGTATTATTGTAACATAATTTGCTAAATGTTTTGTGTGCTTTCCCCTCCTATTAGCTGTGAAAGATCTTGTAAGCCTTTGCAGCCTGTTGGTTGCAAAAATTATGACAAGGCTAGTTTATTTGCATGTTCAGGTAGATTTGCATATTAAGGTTTTGTGCAAGCGGGAGACATATTTCTTGTTAATCTTTGTCTTTCCCATCACTTTGTAAATATTGTATAGTATTATTATCAATGCCTGTATAATTCCCCATATGATTTGGTCATATATATTGGATTGAGTGTGTCACCATACATTTAATGTAATGCAAATGAGGGCTAGTCCTGAGTGTCAACGTGTAAAGGCAGTAGTTGGAGGCAGCGCAAGTAGAGGTGTTGATATCTGCCTGGGAGAGAAAAAGAGGCAACGGCAGATGGGATGATACCTGCCTGGAAGGAAAAATCTGAAGCCTCATCTGATGAAAGAGGTCCTCAGAGACCCCTGTCAAGCTTTGGCAACTGGGTCTGAAATGCTCCAGATTTCCTGGTAACAAAGAAGAAGCTGACCTAGTGTAGGTACCCAGTCGGTATACAGGAGCTTTTCTGGAGAGTCAATTTGATGAAGGTTGACCTTGTCATTATCACAGTTTAAATTGCAGATATGAAGTCAACGATGATCCAAAAGAAAGTGATCGTTCTTTCCACAGATTTAATGTATATGTTGTGCCGATGAAGAACCGTCTCCAGGATTAGATGGGCAAAGTAGGTATGGGCCATCAAAAGAATATAATGCAACACTGGCATTTCCCAGGTCTGTATCATTAGCATCATTTACTAGATCTGAAAATGCTTGGTATCCCGATCCTTCTACAAGGCTTATCTCATCTTTAGTGTTTTCAAGTATTTCAGGTGTAAGACAATATATTTTATTTTCATGACATTGACCGTGAGTGGTGCCAGGTTTTTCATCATCTTGCTTGCAGTCAGCAGCATTGTTTAAAACTCTGATAAGTGGGGAGAAGTGCCAAAAACAAGTTAAAACATAACAATTGCACTTGGTTATATAATAATACAGTTTATAAACATAAAATCATGAATGGCAGGAACCCAGGCATTTGAACAATCACAGGATCATTGCCTTACATATTTGAATATATATGTTTACTATTTTTCTTGACTGTCCTTATTGCATTCACATTTGCGATTTCTTTCAGTGGAATAAACATTATGCATAGTTGTTTTCTACCTATAAATTTTATACCACTAAATTGCATTATTATACTCTTTCATTAGTGTATATGGTGCTCTACATATGCACCTACTTACAGGGCTGCCACTATAAATTTTTGGGCTCCTGACGCAGTCCACCCCCGACCCCGCCCACATGACAGGCCCGCAAAGGTACCCACAAGGCCCATCCTGAATGCACCCACAAGGATGAAGTGTGTGTGTGTACTGAATTTGGTGTGTATAGTGGCTGTAGAATGTGTATAGTGTATGCAGAGTGTGTGAGTAAAGTGGATGCAGTGTTTATAGTGGATGCAGATTGTATGTGTGTGTATTACATGCAGAGGGTGTTTGTGTAGTGGATAGAGTGTGTGTGTGTGTATAGTGGATAGTGTGTGTATAGTGAATGAAGAGTGTGTGTTTGTGTAGTGGATGGGGGCCGCATTGAAGGGACCCATGCTCTTAGGGCCACCCAATGGCAATGAATTTCCTGGCAGCCTGGTCAGCGCTGCAGCGCTTCAACAGTGCGGCCGGCCCCCTGAGATGACATCAGAGCTTGGAGGAAGTGACTGCCCCAGTCACTCCTCCCAACTTACACCGGGAGCCACGCGGGAGGAAGGAGAGGAGGGAGTCAGAGTGTGAACTGTGACTCCCATCAAGCTGAGTCACTGGACCACAGGGGAAGTCACCCTCCTGCACCTAAAAGGTAGGAAACAGGAGGGTGACTAAAACATGTTGTGTATGTGTCTGTATATGTGTGTGTTTGTGTATGGGTGTATGTATGAATGTTTCTCTTTATGTGTGTTTGTATGTCTGTCTGTGTATGTATGTGTATGTATGTGTCTGTGTGTATGTATGTGTCTGTATGTATATATGTGTGTGTGTGTATGTATGTATGCATGTAAGTGTGTGTCTGCATGTGTATCTGTTTGTCTGCATGTGGGGGGGGCGGACGTATGGGAGGGGGAGGCTAGATGTTTAGAGGGGGGTTAGGGGGGTAGACGTATGGGGGTTTCCCAAGGCAATTTTCCTGTGTTTTCTAGTTACACCTCTGGATGTAGTGTGTATAGTGAATGCAGAATGTTTGTGTAGTGGATGTAGCGTGTGTTTGTGTAGTGGATGTAGTGTGTGTATAGTGAATGCAGAGTGTGTTTGTGTGGTGGATGCTGTGTGTGTGTGTGTGTGTGTATGTGCGGTGGATGCAATTTGTGTGTTTGTGTGGTGGTGGATGATGTGTTTGTGTGGTGGATGCTGTGTGTGTGTGTGTGTTTGTGCGGTGAATTATACTAATCAGCTATACTTAGTGATTCCCCTTGATGGATGTTGCAGTGGGTGTGATCAGTATCTCAATTGATTACAATATTCTGTATATAACTGTTATACCGAGTAGTACTTCAATGTCCAATTAGATATTAAGTGCATATGGTGTTCTCTAGAGAATTTTAATTGATACCCTAAGTGTATCATTGTCAATTGTAATTAAGTTTTTTCCTTTGTACTCGCACTCACGCGGGACACCGTGACATCACACACGTGATCACATGCTGCGTCCCGCAAGTCCTGTCGGATTGAGAACATGGGGAGCGTCACGTGAATGGGTCACATGGACGTCCCCTTTTATGTGTATTTAAAACCATTCATTTGGATGCTATATCAGGGCCTTCGAAGGGACAGCATAGTCCAGAGCGCGCAGCCTACAGCCCGACGGTCACCTGCAACTTTGCCTGAGCCCAGTGCAGCTGCTGGATTACAACAATCACATATTTACCAACTACTATCTCCAATGGCCATCTTCTATGAACTCACTCATTAGATCAGGACTGATTTATCATACAGAGGGGTGAAATCCAACCTTTTCAGCTATATATACTCTTGACTGATTCTTGTTTTTTATTTTTTTGTTTATTTTTATTTTTACTGTATACAGTTTTTTCTCATTTTTTTTTGCCATCATCTTCTACATGGATTACACATATGTACTCTATCCAGTGGACTGGATATAGATATTATTTAGATTTTTTTTCATCCTTTTTTTTTCTTCTGTTATCTCGTGAATGTTTGTTTACACATTGCTACCTTCATATATCAGGGTGTGGATCCACCGGTATTCTCTTTTGTCAGTATCTACATGTTGTATATTTATAGGTTTATTTCCGCACAGCGGCCCTTGTATACCTTGTTATATAGGCATAAGATCAAGTGATATATGGGCTTTATATATACATAGTAGCCCCTTTTCCCCCCCATTCCATAGTAATGAATAAAGATGTTTTGATGTTCCTGTGAACAAAATCTAAATACACATTTTTTGAATTAACTTGAGTGCGGTATATTTTTTATTATTCGATTATACATTTAGGGGTTAAATACAAGAGGGTGACCTCAATACCTGCACCAGTCCCTGTATAGAGTTCCAACATCATATAATTGTTTGATGATATGTGTGTTTGTGTGGTAGATGCTGTGTATGTATTTATGTGGTGGATGATGTGTGCTTGTGTAGTGGATGCAGTTTGTGTAGTGGATACAGTGTTTGTTTAGTGGATGCAGTTTTTGTGTTTAGTGGATGCAGTTTGTGTGTTTGTGTGATGAATGATGTGTGTGTGTAGAGGATGTGTCTTTATGTTGGACAAATCCTGCTGGGGGTATTCTTTTTGTCGTTGAGTTTTTTTTTATGTATCCCTTAGCCAGGGAGGGGGACACTGGATTGCCTGGTGGTCTGGTGGCTCAGCTGGATGGGCCAGCAAAGAGGGGCTCAGCAGTCTCCATCTTGACCCTCCAGCCTCTACTTCTGTCGCGAGCCTGGCATGCTTTGCGTGGCAAGGAGCATTGTCATATTGTAATATTAATATATATATATATATATGTGTGTATATATATATATATATATATATATACACACATATATACACACATACACACTATATATACTGCACTGGTAATCCTCTGGGTACCCAGGCCCCCAAGCCCTCCAATGTGTGTGTGTGTGTATCCCCAAAGTCCTCCAATGTGGGCTCTCCAACACACACCCTCCAATGTGGGCCCTCCAACACACACATACACACACATATATATATATATATACACACACATACACACATTGGATGGCTGGGGGGTGCGGACACTCAGAGGATTACCAGAGGATTACCAGTGCAGTCGGGCCCATGGCAACCATCATGGTAGTCACCCCCTGACGGCGGCCCTGCCTACTCACTTTGAAAATACTTGTAATGTGTAATATATTTACATACAGTAAGAACATAAGAACATAAATATCGGGTGAAAAGAGAAAAGAAGACTGTAAAGGGGAAATTAATAGAAGGATGGATGTAAGAGATGATGGAGAAAAAGATGATAGGATAAGAAGCCTGGAAGACATTTTTAACAACATGCAATGTAATACTTACATTGGTGAAGAATCGTGAATAGCATTGCAGCTATTAAACATTTCTTCATAAAGGTGATGTTTAGGGAATATGTAAGCTGATCTCTCCTGAAAATAAGCAGAACAACTTTGAAATGGATTAATTCTGCACAGTGTTTCCACTAATTAAAGAAAAGCATGGGTATAATAAATTATGTTGGTTTCCCTTTAAATATCGAACCACAAACATAATTTATATTCATGCAAGTGGCTCATCTAGTTTAGAAGGATAATAGGCTGAAATGTATTTCTTGTAATTAATCCCTGAGTTTTAGTGAGTTAAACCGTCGCCTAAACACAGTTAGTGAACTCAACAGCTCAGAAACAATATCTGATTTGATGACAACTTGGACCTTTTATTGATTAATTATTTCATTCTGTGTAAACCATTTGCAGTCAACATATATCGTCTATAAGAGAATGTTGTAGGTTTGTATTTGTACACTTTTTACAATGGAGTGTGACATTTTGTTCCACATTTTAGCCAAGTCTGCCTGACAGTATTAACGCCATTAGCAATCATTTGGGAGTAAGGTCTCAATTCAATATGATTCAATACTGTTAAAAAAAAATAAAAAAAAATAAAAGAAAACACAACAAATTTACAATGATTTATCTACAGAAGTCCCCATTAAAGTCTATGGGTATATTTGTAAATAAATCATTTGGTAGATTTTTTTTATTTTTTTTTACTGTGGTCTTGTTTCATTATTTTTGGATAAGCTATTGAAGGATTTAATTTTTTTAATTTTTTTTCGTACAGGTAAATACATCGCAAGGTCAAATGCCACAACAGTGTACAGTTTTCAGACAGGTTAAACAGTGGCATGAGTATATGCATATTTCTTTTTTTTTGGTTCATAAGCAGGCTTAATGTAGCTTGTTAGTGTTCATAGAGTGAAATACAAGAAGGTTATGTACCGTATATACTCGTGTATAAGTCGATCTCATGTATAAGTCGAGTGCAGTTTTGTGACCAACAATTGTGAAATATGCTATGCCTCGTGGATAAGTCGAGGGTAAAACTTGGGGCTATGAAATTCTGTGATTTTTATAATTATATACACACACACTCATACAAACAAACACTCTGCATTATATATACACACACTCATACAAACAATCTGCATTATATACATACACACACTCATACAAACACACACTGCATTATAAACACACACTCTGTGTATATAATGCAGAGTGTGTATATAATGCAGAGTGTGTGTTTGTGTAGTGTGTGTGAACTAGGTGGGGGGAGGGCATTTTTATTATTTAAATTTTTTTTATTTTAATATTATTATTTTTTTATTATTTTAAATTTTTTTTTGTCCCCCCTCCCTGCTTGTTATCTGGTCAGGGAGGGGGGCTACCTTAATCCCTGGTGGTTCAGTGGCATGGGCTGTGAAGTGGGGGGGCCGGCAGGAAGCATTTACTTACCTTTCCTGCAGCTCCTGTCAGCTCCCTTCTCCTCTGTTCCGGTCAGCTCCACTGTAAGTCTCGCGGTCTGGTTGCCGCGCGGATCGTTGCCATGGCTCTGACGGCCGCGGCTCTCTAAGTTGCCATAATACAGACAGTGACTCGAGTATAAGTCGAGTGGGGGTTTTTAAGCACAAAAAATTTGCTGAAAAACTAGACTTATACTCGAGTATATACTGTATATTAAGTCTAGCTAGACATAGAATAATATTGAGTTGACTAATGCTATGTACAAAGGAGATTAACAATAAAAATACAACTTTAGTAATTAGTCGATTGACTTCGAGTGATGCCCCCCCTGCGGTCCCCTGTATGCTCAATTAAAGATATTAAATGCAATCTAACATATGTGCTAGTTCACAGAGGGCATTGAAGATTAAGAGACAGTGGGCTCTTTGCCTGTCATTAAGCATTTTTTGGCGCTCCATTGTGGGAGTTCCTTTGGCTTGCCTTGCCTTTGTCTGGCTGCGGGCCTCTGTTGTCAGGGTGGCCTTCCTCGGTTGCTTGCTGGGCCTGGGGAGGGCGTCTAAATGTCGTGCCATGTCCCTTTTTTGCACTTCCCATGACGGGCTTCGAGGTGTGCCATCGGGCTGGTTCACTGATTCTGGGGGCCATGCAAGCATCTCCAGCTTCTCGCTTAGGGCTGCAGCTTGTGTGCCTTCAGCCATGTTGTAGGCCACACCAGCGACCTCCAGACTGCTTGATCGGTTCATCTGAGTACCTCTTGTCAGGGGGATCATTTGGGGGTGGCCCGGGATAACCCCCATCAATACAGGAGGGGGGGGGGGGAACAAGGGCAGATTTCCAGCTGGTCCTGGCATCAGGAAAGCAGCCACCTCTCCCGCGTCGGAAGTGCTGGTAGGCCTTGTCAGGATATCGGGTATATACTGGAGCAATAGTCACTTGGAGAGTATCGTCTTGTGAGTCCCGGTTTCCCCTTTCACCTGGTGGCCTTTATTTGTGATTTGGTTGCCATTTTGGTCGGTTAGTGTCTCTTTTTCTGCTGTCGTTGGCTGGAGCTGTAGAGGCTAACGTCCTCTCGGCTCCACGGTCATGCCTCACCCCCCCCCCCCTTTTAACAACATTTTTAAAAGATTTTTTTCCAAATATAAAAAAAATATAAATAAAAAAATTATATCAAAGTATTAATATAAATCAAAATTGTACTAAATTAAAATATTTTTCATATTAATAAATCATTTTAAAAGTTTATCAAAAACTATTAAATCATTATCTAACAATATTAATTTGAAGCTGTATTGGATCATTTGGAAAACTTAAGTCTAAGTTACCAGAGACTCAGCACAGTTCTACGTGATTTAGCCACAATACTAACTAGGACTTAGACATTTAATATAAAATAAAAATTATCAGTAATTAACAGCAGTACGTTTTCAGATGTCATGGAACCTAGTGATAGATAATATCTTAAGTTCAAATTTTGCATGTGCAGTTTCTTTTATTAAATATTTACAGACCAGGAATAGGTTTTTGTTTTACTGCATGTTCCCTGTAAAGGTCATCTCTAAAGTAATCACATCAAGGTCAGATCTTAGCCAGGATAGAAATAGTAACACAAAGTAACACATTATGGACTTGCATTTCTGCTACATTTATTGGTACTAAGTACTCTCTTCTGTTATAAAATGTTTTATTCTAAACATTAACAAATGTTGTCCACAGAGGAATAGGCAAGAAAGCACAAATATACACGGCAGCTGTGCTGGTATTTCTTCTTCCAAATTTCCAAATGTATTAGAGTTTCTCACCACAAGCAAGATAGCATTCCACTTTATTATGATAATTAAAGGGATAATTAAAGGCAGGTCCGGACTGGGAAAAAATTAGGCCCGGGCATTTTTCAATCAGAACGGCACCTTAAGAAGGGCGCGGGGCCAAAGAGGGTGTGTTTTGTCATCACTAATGACAAGCACGCCCCCTCTCAAAGTGAGTATGTTGGTTCAATGCGCAGAGCCCTGCTGAAGAGCTCTAGCATTAGAAAAAGGCCCTGTATTTGTTCTGCACAGCTCAAGCAAATTTAATAACGTGCTTGTGCTGTGTTTGCTTTTAAATTGTCTCTGGCGTCTCCACAAGTGGGATACCAGAGGACAAAAGGGCCAGGAAAGCATATGTGTTTGGAGACTGCTTGTGGGATTGCGTGTGTGTAGAGTGTGGTGTGGTATTGTGTAAATAGGTCAATTTCATTCGTGTTTGTGGTGTAATATGTGTGGCTAGGGGCTGTAGAGAGTGTGTGTATAGGGGGCAAAGTGTTATAGGGGATGTAGCGAGTGTGTGCATACGGGCTGTAGTGTGTGTGTGTATAGGTGACGTAGTGTGGGTAGGGGTTGTAGAGAGGGTGTGTTTAGAGAATGTTGTATATGTTTTCTTACAAGGAATGTAGGGTGTGTAGGTGGTGCAGTGTGTGTGTAGGAGATCTAGTGTGTAAAGAACCCAGAGTGTGTATAGGAGAATGTGTGTGTGTAGAGGATTAAGAGTGTTATAGTGTAAGGGATCTAGCGTGTATCTGGAGCGTAATGTGTGTAGTGGTGCAGTGTGAGGGGTGCTGTAGTGTGTGTGTATATATATATATATATATATTATATAATATATATTTGGACTATTGTATGTGTGAGGGGCGCAGTGTGTGTGTGTGTAAGATGGGTGCTGTGTGTGAGGGTGTTTTTATCTGCCATCACATTCTAGGTTTCTAATTTTCTTTGTTAACTCACTGAAGGTTATTTTATCGAATATATATATATATATTTGTGTGTGTGTGTGCTATATGTGTGTGTGTGCTGTATATGTGTGAGAGTGTGCTGTGTGTGAGTGAGGGTGCTGTATCTGTCTGAGGGTACTGTGTGCGTCTGAGGGTGCTGTGTGCATCTGAGGGTGCTGTGTCTGTTAGTGAGGGTGCTGTGTGAGTGATGGTGCTGTCTGTGTGAGTGAGAGTGCTTTGTGTGTCTAGGTGCTGTGTGTATCTGAGGGTGCTGTGTGTGTCTGAGGGTGCTGTTTGTGTCTGGGTGCTGTCTGTCTGAGGGTGCTGTGTGTGTCTGAGGGTGCTTTGTGTATCTGAATGCTGTGTGTGTGTCTGGGGCTTCTGTTTGTGTCTGAAGGGTGTGTGTCTGAGGGTGCTGTGTGTGTCTGATGGTGCTGTGTGAGTGAGGGTGCTGTGTGAGTGATGGTGCTGTGTGAGTGATTGTGCTGTCTGTGTGAGTGAGAGTGCTTTGTGTGTCTGGGTGCTGTGTGTGTCTGGGTGCTATGTGTGTCTGAGGGTGCTGTGTGTGTCTGGGGGTGCTGTGTGTGTCTGAGGGTGCTGTGTGTATCTGAATGCTGTGTGTGTCTGGGGGTGCTGTTTGTGTCTGAGTGGTGTGTCTGAGGGTGATTTGTGTGTCTGGGGGTGCTTTGTGTGTCTGAGGGTGCTGTGTATCTGGAGCGTAATGTGTGTAGTGGTGCAGTGTGAGGGGTGCTGTAGTGTGTGTGTGTATGTATATATATATATATATATATATATATAAAATATATATTTGGACTATTGTATGTGTGAGGGGTGCAGTGTGTGTGTGTGTAAGATGGGTGCTGTGTGTGAGGGTGTTTTTATCTGCCGTCACATTCTATTTTTCTAATTTTCTTTGTTAACTTACTGAAGGTTATTTTATCGAATATATATATATATATATACTTGTGTGTGCTATATGTGTGTGTGTGTGTGATGTATATGTGTGAGAGTGTGCTGTGTGTGAGTGAGGGTGCTGTGTCTGTCTGAGGGTGCTGTGTCTGTCTGAGGGTGCTGTGTGCGTCTGAGGGTGCTGTGTGCGTCTGAGGGTGCTGTGTGCATCTGAGGGTGCTGTGTGCATCTGAGGGTGCTGTGTCTGTTAATGAGGGTGCTGTGTGAGTGATGGTGCTGTCTGTGTGAGTGAGAATGCTTTGTGTGTCTGGGTGCTGTGTGTGTCTGAGGGTGCTGTGTGTGTCTGAGGGTGCTGTTTGTGTCTGGGTGCTGTCTGTCCGAGGGTGCTGTGTGTGTCTGAGGGTGCTGTGTGTATCTGAATGCTGTGTGTGTGTCTGGGGGTGCTGTTTGTGTCTGAGGGGTGTGTGTCTGAGGGTGCTGTCTGCGTCTGAGGGTGCTGTGTGAGTGAGGGTGATGTGTGAGCGATTGTGCTGTGTGAGTGATTGTGCTGTCTGTGTGAGTGAGAGTGCTTTGTGTGTCTGAGGGTGCTGTGTGTGTCTGGGTGCTGTGTGTGTCTGGGTGCTGTCTGTCTGAGGGTGCTGTGTGTGTCTGAGGGTGCTGTGTGTATCTTAATGCTGTGTGTGTGTCTGGGGGTGCTGTTTGTGTCTGAAGGTGACTTGTGTGTCTGAGGGTGCTGTGTGTGTCTGGGGGTGCTGTGTGTGTCTGATGGTGCTGTGTGTGTAAGGGTGCTGTGTGTGTCTGAGGGTGCTGTGTGTGTCTGGGGGGACTGTGTGTGTCTGAGGGTGCTTTGTGTGTGAGGGTGCTTTGTGTGTGAAGGTGCTGTGTGTGTAAGGGTGCTGTGTGTGTAAGGGTGCTGTGTGTGTCTGAGGGTGCTGTGTGTGTCCGGGGGTGCTATGTGTGTCTGGGGGTGTGAATGTATTTTTTATCTAAATGTATATATTAGAGTTCACTCTCGCGAGATCTGAGCGTTGCCGTGGTAACCGCGGCAACACTCAGACCTCGCGGAGCTGTGGCTAGAGTTCCACCTGGTCCTCTCTCCTCTCCCTCCCTCCCCAGCTGGCGTCCGCATCTCAGTGCCTGTGGGCCGGTGAGCCCACCGGCCAACGAAAGCATACAGCAGGGCCGGATCCTGTGATCTCGACCCACGGCCATCGTGGCCCATCGGGCATTTGCCGGTATGCCCGATGGCCAGTCTGGGCTGATTAAAGGGATTCTAACAAAGCCAAAACTTGAATCCAGCGGCGATGTCCCTCGGTGCTGGGTCTGACGTCAGCCGGCAGGGGAGACCTAATGCGCATGCGTGGCAATGGACATTAATCAATGCTACGTCCAGTGTCATTTAGATGACCAAAAGTTGTCTATGCACCCGGAATCCCCTTGTCTGGTAGATAGCCACTAGAGGTGGAGTTAACCCTAGCAGGTAAATATTGCAGTTTCTCAGACACTGCAATAATTACCACTGTAGGGTTACGGTACACGGAACATTGCACCCAGAACACTTCAATAAGCTGAAGTGGTCTGGGTGCCTACCGTGTCCATTTAATATTTCTGTACCACATTGTTAAATTAGAAAGAAAGAAATACCACAGATAGATTTACCACACATGGTGAGAATGGTTGAAGGAATTAATTTATAGGAACAGGGCCTAAATCCATGAAACCATTGCTTGTAAAAAGATGGCAATAGGGCAATAAATTGTAAAACACTGTACTGAAGATGCAGCTTAAATTATATTGGATTGTTGAATGGTTACAGTTAATTAATGTACAGTAGCTCTCCTTTACACATTGGTCCAGAGATTTCCTTTCATTTGTATAGCTTTTACCGATATCGAGTAAATTGTTGCCTGATCTTATTTAAAAGATTTTCGGACATGAAAAAATATTATTAGAGACACCTATTGCAAAATACAAATGAATGGGAAAATATCAAAGCATATATGTAGCAGTGGTACATGATGAACATATGGATAAATGTATTGAAGTATTTAAATAGGAACATACTTACCATTTTATGATGGAAATTCACTATGAGAAAGCTCTTGTTTGGATTTGGAATCTGATCTTCCCACTTCTTCTTGAACCTATATTGGAATTGGGTCGTAAGCTATAAAAATGTAGGATGTACTTTTTAAAGAAATATCACTTGCACTCACATTTATTTAAAGTACATGCCTTATGTAAAACTGAGTATTCTTAATAGTACAATGAGAGAAGATGCCTTCTTGTGGGATTCACTTGCTACTACAGCAACATGTAGGTGTGGTTGAGTCAGCCATTGGTCAGATATAAGTAGAATCTGTTCCAACATGACTTCTCAGCCAGATGAAAGAAAAAATTTTTTCTAATAAAATATGTTTATAAACAATAATGAAGTTTCATTAAATATACTGAACTTTAAAAAAAACTGAGAAGTTAAAATTTGATGGCAGTTGTCTTTTAATATAACACCCACTTGTTTCAGAAGATTAAAAAGCAGTTCCTTTATCATAAATATACAATTGCACAATTTACTATACTCAAACCTATTGTAGTACAACAGGCTGATTATCCACTGTATAATACAATGGACAGCTAACCTGTTCATTAGCAGTAATATACAACAGCTAAGAGGTCACCCATTGAGAGTGGAAGAAAGGCATGTTCGATTACTGCAGAAGGAAGGTTCTTTACAATAAGAGCAATAAAGATGTTAAATTCTCGACCCAAAGAGGAATCTTATCTGATTCTGTATATGTTTTTTTATTTTTTTATTTATTTTTTCTTTAACATAATATTTATGGTTACTTCCCATGTATGTGGGCAGTCTGTAGATCAAGGGGAAATGTGATTGCCATTATGGAATTAAAAAAGTATTTTTTTTTACCCCTTGTTGTGGCATAATGTGCCATCAAGTTGGATTGTTTGCCATCTTATTGGATAAACAGCATAAAAAGATGTGTTTGAAAAGTTGAACTTGATGGACTCAACATTTTCAACCTAGATTTAGTTACTATGTAACTCTGTGAATTACAAATGTTAGGACATAATAGTCACATTTGAAAAAAGAAAGTCTGCTATGTTTTCTGTCCAACTGCTTTGTAAAAAAAAGCCACTCAAAATTCACTTTGAATTCCTAACAATTCACACTCTAATGGAAAACCCAGTGACTAAGAAATTCTATTTCCTGGCCTGCAATTGTTATATTTAATTGATTGTCATAAAGCTTCACTTTGCTTCATGAATTTGCTGATAATGAGTTCTAGTCTATCAGATATATCAAAAGCAGCAAAATTGCATAAAAACAATTTACGTATAAATATCACAGCTCTTCTCTTTCAAAGGGGGCGAGGGGAGCAGGTGAAATTTATTGTGCTGGACAAACTCTACTTTCTTTGTGTAATGATGCTGATCAGCGTAAAGCTTTTGAAAAATCAAATGTCACTGTGCAAGTGATACAATCATTTATCGACCAGTTCAGCAATACAGTTTAAGTTCCTTATCTACATCAACTATCCATTAGTACACATTTTCAAAGTCAAATTACAATAATCTACAAGCAGCTTTACAAACATGATTTCAATAGGCAAAGTGTAATATTTTGGATCTACTCCAAAGAGCTACTTGAGCAATCACCTCTAGTTCTCACTAGTGTTCTAGTAGTATCATAGAGGCAAAAGAATATCAATTCCGATATGCAACACAATGTCGGAAGGAAAGGAATAATATGCTTCATTACACGGGAATAAATACTGTGATGGACGCCCTAGTTCCATCTTGTAGAGGGGTGTGGAGGCCAGCCTTCTGCCTACAGACTGTCGGCTCGGTTCCAAAAGCTCTAAAAAATAAAAAAAATGGACTATTGTCCCTATGGGGAGGGCGTTTGGGAGCCTTGGGTGCTTATTCTACCTCCAAGTTGGACCTATGGGGGATCGATGAGATCCATTCTGCTAACAGAGTGGCTGACTGGGAGATACATTGAATTGCTGTTTAACTGTTGACTGGATTGGAATGTGCCATGATCCGATGAACCTTTGACTGGTTGTTGCTCAGTCCTCTGACAACCAATCAAGGCACTATTATTTTTAGGGAATGTTGGGGAGGTCATGAGGCTTCTAGTGATATCCAGTATTTTAGAGAGCTTCTCTTCCCATAGCTCCAGAAATCCCTTTTGTGAAACCAGGTCTAACCAGCTGCATGCATGGAACTCCTCACCAGATTGGAGAGTAGCTGCGACCCAGTGAAATTTTGACATGCTGTCGCTAGACACAGATTCTCCAATTAGGGTGCTATTTGGGCAGTGGATAGCTGGGGTAACAAGCTTTCAGGAACATAAAATGTATGTCTGGGAGAACATAGCAGGGAGTCTATCTTGTTATCTGGGTCTAATCCAATTAAGATCCAAGACAGTAACACCAGGGAGGGGATTACTGTACTGGCCATTGCAGTGTTTGGAGGACCCACTGGAGGGGAAATGCACATTTTTGCTATTTAAATAGTTGTATGTGCAATAAAGGCTTTGCATTCAAACCCCTCAATTGAGTCTTGACTGATGTGAGTAGAAAAAAAAGGCTATAATCACCTTTTGCTGTAAAGGAGAGAATGGAACAAAAGGAAAAGAACTATAAACACTGTAGTCTTGTCCAGTATAAAAGGTCTCCAGAGACACCAGTCCAGCTTTGGCATATGTGTTTAAAGTGCTCCAGAGTTCCCTGGTAGCCGAAAGGAAGCTGACCTAAAGGAGGTACTCAGTCTGATTACAGGAGCTCCGTAACAACTGGTGACAAGTGGTGGGATGCTTCTGTGTTTATAGGACTAGAGCTACAATGTTAGTGTGGCCAATGGAAAGGAGCAGGTCTTTCAGTAAAGAGTGAGGGAGAGGCCAAATCTGTATGGGCCCAACCTGTCAGAGGCAGTAACACAGCAAACGGTGGGCAAACTTGGCAAACTGCAAGCCACCACAGGGACCCCGCTAGAAGAGTGTGAGTTTTGGAGAGACTCACCCCCTATGGTCCCAACCCATTGAAGGTGGCTATCACTACTGTGAGCTGCCACTGGAGGAAGTGAGCTCTGGAGGAGGCAATCTACGGGCCCAACCCCTCAGAGGCGGTTATCCAGTAAGTGGTGAGAATCATCAAAAGGGAAGAGTGGCGGAGGAGCTTCGTTTGGCAGATCTGTGGCAGTTGGAAGACATGACTGCTGTGACCCAATCCAAGAAAAACAGACTATGCTGGTTGCCATTCAAAGCAGTTTGACAGACATTAAAGCTGCAGGAAGTGGAGCTCCTTTAGATCCAGAGTCAGGGAGAGAAGATTTTTGGTCTCTCTTTCCAGCAGCAAAATTAACTTCAGGGATCGACTTGTGGCAGTATTTTTCCCCAGTGGCAGAGCAAGTCACAGGGAGAGTAGATGGTTAACACCTCTCCCCAGTGGCAGGAAGAGATCCAGGGAGCAAAGGTAGTCAACAACAGAGCAAGTTTCCAAGAGGGGATGCAGGCAATACCTCTCCCAAACAGCAGGATGAGCTTTAGAGAGGGTGAAGGAGACACCTCTCCCTAGAGTCCCTAGAGGTAGGGTGAACTCCAGAGAGAGGGGGTAGTCCACCTCCCTTTCCAGCAGCTGATTGCGTTCCAGGAGATGGTGCAGGAAACATCTCTCCCAGTGACAGATTGGGCTCTAGGGTGAGAAGGCAGTCGGCTTCCCTCCCCAAGTCCAGAGCAGCTGAAGAAGCCCCAGGTGGAATGCTGGAGAGATCGCTGAAAGTTCCCCAGACGCTAATCGAGGATCCGAGAATGTCAACCAGCATGCAGCAGCCAGAGGCACTATGATTGCAGTGGTCCAACCTCCAGTGCATCATGTGTGCCCTGGACTGGGTGAATACCATTAGCAAATGTGACAGAAAATATGCAGAATGCAGCTCTCCCCAGTGGCAGGTGGAAAGTGAATTTCAAATTTGAGACTAAAATGGCCAAATTAAAAAACATTCGCCAAGTGAAATCTGCTTTCAAATTTAGCCATTTTAAAATTACATATCCCTATGAAAGTTTAAAGAATGACAGACTTGCATCCACACATCAGTTTCTACCAGGGATATTTACTAAAGTGACAATTGTTGGGAAATCAAAGTGAGTTTAATTTTTTAAGGCCAAAAGTGAGTCTTCAGCAAAAAAAGCTCTATCTTCAATCTTCACCTTAGTAATAGTTAGTAGCACTATTGCAATTAAATACATTCATCCAAATTTTACAAAATAGTTTTATAGAGTAAAAAAATAAAAAAATAAATAGCATACTGCATTTATCATAAGGCAGATATTAACTACAAATCAGACTCACCGTGCCAAATACCTAATTCCAAATGCACCGCAGATTATTAATACGACGCAACATGGAATGATAATAGCCAGGATCAACCATATCGGAATAACTAGCAAGATAAAGCAAACAATAAATAACAATGCATTAATACAGAAATAAAATCAAATAAATTCTAAAACATTTTCATTTTTGGGTATGGACTGCACATGGCATCATTAATTTAGCATGATCTAGAATTTTGCTTTAGCTGTGATTGCATGCAGTAATCCACTCCACAAAGATATACCTGATTTGGTTTTCCACGTCTGGACACTGCTCCACTCACCCCATGGCCCCACATAACACTCATTCTCTTTTTCCTGGTTATGCATTACCCTCATCCGAATCTTGGCATAGTATGTTCTTCGGGGTTCGAGATCTGTACCAAGACTAAGCACCAATGCAGAAGGATAATTGGGCTCTATATACTTTGAGTTAGTGCTGCAGTTTGATTCTCCATTCTAATGGAATACATGATTAGAGAGTTACTTTTGTTATTATTATTATTAATAAATTATGATTAATATTATTAAAATGTCCACACAGCAACAGCCAATATTTAAATTAATTTGGAATTAATTTTATAACAATAAATAAAGATAAACTTGGTTTTAATTTGATAATGACTTCTAGAATGCTTTATTAAAAGAAAAAGCAGATGTACGAATGTGATCAAGACCACATTATTGCCATTTGTTTTCATTTATAATTTATTTCTTTTTAAAACTCTGACATATTCCACTATATACCTGCTAAAATAGCTGTGTTTAGAATAACTTTAAAGGGACACTGAAGTCACCCAGATCACTTTCATCTTAAAAAGGATTTATTGTAAAACAAAGATTAAAAACTCTTACTTAGCAGCAGAAATGTTTGTAAAAAGTCACTTCCGGGTTCCGTCTGTAAAAGGTTTGTGGGACGGACGGAACCCGGAAGTGACTCCTTACAAACTTTTCTGTTTGCCGTATTCATGCTCTAATGTGGGTAGCTATGCCAGCATAACCCACCATTTGCTAAGTAAGAGTTTTTAATCTTTGCTTTACAATAAATTGTATGAGATACTATTCAATTTGAGGTCCTGCCTCTCTCTGTCCTATATTGCACAGAACCACCAGCTTCCAGTGTGCACACCCCTTGGATTTTATACAGTGTGGGAGTCTTCCCTCTCAAGTGGAGCATTGCAAACCCTAGAGCCAGGGGTGACAGGGCTCTGGTAAATGTGATTTTTTTTCCCCACACTCTCTATCTATATATTTTATGGTCCCCATAGTCTACACTATTCTCTGTGTTTTTGTATTTGCAGATCTTTGCCATCAGTTTAGTGTGCATTTTTGGTAAACATTTTTAAATATAAAAACAACTTTCAAAATCTGCAGACATCTAATCTGAAACATTTTGCAAATCTTGTTGTTCCTTTCAACAATGACAGCAAGGGACTAAAACAACAACGAGGATGAAACTGATGAAAACATTAGTTCTTACAGGTACATGGCTGTAGAAAACATATATGATCTGACTACTACTATGCAGGGAATTTATACAGATTAAATCGTAGAAACAAGACAATGTAGTTGACTATATAACATTCCCACCACTCAGAGTCCTGCTGTGTAAAGCCTCTCGGACAAAACTGGTAAGTTCCAAATTGTGGAAATGAAGTGGACAGAAAATAAACACTGATAGAAAAGTTCAAACATAACTGTCTGTGCCATTTTGCAAAACACAATTTAATTTGATTAAAATCCTGCCTCTGCGCATGTCAAGAACAGTACAAATGAACTAGGATACGGTTTATGTTTTAGCAGTGAGATAAAAAATATATTATCAATGTTGGCTTTGTACTTCCAAACACTAATAAACACAGGAAACATGCAAAATCACCATTCATGAGGAATGTAAGGCCAATTACCAACCTTGTCTAATTGTTGATAGTCTGACCAGTAACATAGTTGAAAGTGAAGTTTAAAACGATGGCCATCACCCTGTGTTTTCTTGTTCCATCTGATATTGTAAGCTTTCCCATTGTTTACTTCCTCAACAGACATATTTGTAGGTGGCAATAAAACTATGGAAAAAAAATAATATTTTAGCTCCAAAATGATTAATTGGCCACAGAAAATAGAACTTTTATTTAACGCTCAATATGAAAATAAAAATGTATAAATTGTTATCTTCAAAAAAATAGTGTTAAAGAAAGAAAGAATGAATGATGGGCAGGATAATGCTGCTTCTACAAATGAAAACATATGCAAAACAAAATGAGCATATCCATTTCACTGGAATACTTTACAACATTTTATTTTGTTTAATATTTTGTGAACACCTATTGTGATGGGAAAAGGTGACATCCCCAGCATTGGGCCTAGACGCTTCATACTAGATTATCTGATCCTTCTCCTCTGACACCAGAGATCACCCAGGACTTCTGCAGCCATTATTCACGAGACTCCACTAGACTGCTCCTTCTTCCAAGCAAGAATTGCCCCCTCCGTGTGCTCCTGAAAATTTGTTTACGAAATCTCTTTTTACTACTTGACACAAAGTGATAGCTTTATCTCAATAGATCCTCAGAGTTTGCATCGGGTCCCCACTGTCTCAGCAGACACCACACTATAGAAAGTTTTTTAAAACTTTGTCACTGTGACCTCTAAAACCATTTCCATCTTAAAAGAGACAGTAAAGGAACCAAGATTACATCCAGTGATTTGAGTGCAGTGGTCCTGTCATTTTAATCCCTACGCACATTTAAATAACTGGAGGTTTTCTAGTATACTCCAATGACCAAGGCAAGTAACTTTTTCTTTGATTTGGGGCTGTTGTGTACTATAATCATTCCTGCCATATAGGAGTAGTGGGAGTTTGAGTGCAGGGCTTAATTTTATATTTACCATGTTACTGTGTTGCCGTCCACCACATGTGTGGCGGAGCCTGCTTAATTCTTGGATTACTGGTGCAGGACTCCATTATACCGCCTCATCCAAAAGACTATCACTCCCTTGGCTATCCTCTCCCTCTCTTCCATGTATTCCAGCTGAGTGCTCTTCCACCCTTACGGGTAGCAGTTCTTGAAAGCCAAATAAGCGTGATCGCCTCAGCGGAACCTAGCCCTAAATCTCTGGAACTCAGGCTCGGCTTTATACAGTCAATCTGCCCGGTCAAGTTTGCCAGCGATTTTACCAGACTTTACTAACACCTAGGAGAATACTATTTAAAGGGGAGATACAGAGGGCCCCCACTAACAATTGCTACCTAAGAGCTAAGCACACAGTCAGCGTTTAGCCACAGCCAGCCTGGAAGTGCTTTCTGCCAGCACTTACATCACGGTGGGTTCAAACTTTGACCGAGTGGTGTTCTTACAGTTCTCTACTGATCAGAGTGCTTATTTCCCAGATTGGGTGCTCCAGCACAGACTATCTAGGGATATACAATATGTGGGTGTTATGCAATGATAAAATATTGTTTTGGAGGATACTTTATGCTAGGCTTCTCTGTGTCTGGGAGATAATTAAATTATCGGTAGATGTTGCAACCCTCTCCCAGACACAGAGTCACCTGGGTGGGTTCATCTACACCATGCATACTTTATTTAGCGTTCATAGGTGTTTAGAAAAAAATAGCCCTCTCTGTCACATTAGAGGTTTTGCCTTTAAGTGGCAGGTGAGCTTATACTTTAATGGCCATTGAAGTGTACTAGACTATGGGTAAGGATTTGTGATAACTTTTCCCTTTGGTTTTTATTGTATGTATTGGGGCTGACGTGTACTATAGTTATTGCTGCCACCCAGGAGTACTGGTAGTCTAAAATGTTTTCACATTTTGTATGAACTGCTTAAATTATAGGAAGAAAGCCACTAGAGGTACCTAGAAAGCATTTGATTGGTGCAGTGCACAAGCCTCCTAATGCTTTCCTATGAGCAAGCATCGTATTGCCTGAGATCATCGCCTTTCAAACCACGTCACAGTAGGGGGAGGGATGCATAAATATGTAGGGTAAAACAAGAGTATTTTGAATACATGTCTGTGTTCCTAACACTATAGTGTTCATTTAAGAGTGTATCTACTTCAGAAGTTATTGTTTACCCTGTTAATTAACTGCTAGTGCAAAACAGCCCGATGATAAAATTAAATTAAGAAAAACTGAAGAAATCTAAACTCCCAGGACTAAACAATAATTTGTCCATGCAATAATTGGAGAAGCACACTTGCGGATCTATTCCAGAAAAATCTGACTATTTTATTTTCTTTGTATAATTTCTTTTTAAAATTCCAATATATAAACTATTCAGTAATGTTATATACTTCTTCACCAAGTAGTTCTTTTCATAGCTTCCCAATATGCAATCTGTGTCCACAATGCTTGTCTGTGACTGTTACAGATTTTGGTTTTGTTTGCAAATATATAACAATATATTTTGTCATCGAAAATGGCCGACGATGCCATTTAGATGTTTCTGGAGTCAGTTACTCAAAACAAAATGTTTGGATAGACATCAAACATAAAAACATAGAATGTGACGGCAGATAAGAACTGCCCAATTTTCTAAATACTCTCATTAGTCCCTGGCCTTATCTTATAGTTAGGATAGCCTTATGCCTATCCCACGTATGCTTAAACTCCCTGACTGTGTTAACCTCTACCACTTCAGCTGGAAGGCTATTCCATGCATCCAGTACCCTCTCAGTAAAGTAATACTACCTGATATTATTTTTAAACCTTTGTCCCTCTAATTTAAGACTATGTCCTCTTGTTGTGGTAGTTTTTCTTATTTTAAATATAGTCTCTTCCTTTACTGTGTTGATTCCCTTTATGTATTTAAATGTTTCTATCATATTCCCCCTGTCTCGTCTTTCCTCCAAGCTATACGTGTGAAGTTCCTTTAACCTTTCCTTGTAAATGTTATCCTACAATCCATCAAATGTAGGAAAATTCAGATTAGAGAGAGAATACGTATCAATATTTCATAAAAGTGTATCTCAATTAATCTGTGAAATTAGAAAACAATCTAACAATAATGGAATAAATGCACTATAATGTAAAGCAAGAATTGAAGGAGAAAATGGAAAGCTACATAGTTTTAGGTGTATTACCTTTACATATTTCACAAAGATATATGCTCCACCCTGCACAGTAATATCTAGCTTAAAGGGTTACTTCAACCTCCATGCCCACATCTGCTTGTAGAAGAGGTCATGGTGGTAGGAATTGGTTTTAAATGCTGCACATACAGAGAAATATTCACTTTAGTGCTGGGAGCTAGTTAAACCCTCAGAACATGTTACTTGAGTTGTCTAATGTAAAATCTGTCCATAAATTACATGTCGTCAGTGCTAACTGTGTGCTGGTGACAGATGTAATGAACTTCTATCCTTCAAGGCAGCACTGGGAACATGCCTGCAAGTGGAAGTCTCTAAGACAACTCACACCCTCCCTTTGCCGGTGAGAACGGTCCAATAAAATGCTACTCTAGGAGAGGCATTTGATTCGACCAGGGAGAGGGAAGAATTGAAGTGGCACGATGGCAGGCAGGAAATAGAAGAACCTCACTCTGTGTTCTACTCTAAGTACGCTTATTATTTTTTTACAGGGGTTTTATTGGAAAAAAAGAGTGTGGACAGGTCCAGTAGGGCAATATAATACATGTATTATATTAAAAAAAAGGATTGGAGGAACCCTTTAACTTCTTCATATTTATATATATATATATATATATATATATATATATATATAAATAATTTCCAATAAAACCACAAGTCCTTGCACACGGACTATTACATTTTTAATGCTGGGTGCATCTTATAGCCATTGCCAAAAATATAAACATAAGTAGTAAAGGGCTTGCACTCACAGTCTTTTCACGCAATAAAATTCCTTTACATGAATATGGAATAAAGGAATTTTATTACGTGAAAAGACTGTGAGTATATATATAAATCCAAAAAGGAGGCAGCACTCACGGAATTAAAAGTTCTAATCTTTATTTGTTCATGTTAAAAAAATATATATAAATAAATAAATAAAATCAAAATAAAATATATATATAATAAATGAAAGACAAAAATGATAATCATTGTAATAAAATATGCTACTCATATAAGCAGCAGCTTCCGAGCAGACCAGGCATCACACATACATCTGCAAAGTACGGTTTACGTTGAAAGGATAGAAAGTGACTTACTTCTTGCACAGGCATTAAAAGATTTAAATTCTTGCTTTGGTTGAACACTAACCACAGACAATGGACTTGCAGATGTAATGTTGCAACTGCATGATAGATATGGCAAGTTGTGTGGCATCTCCACACATTTAGGATGACATTCTTCTTGTCTGAAGAAGAAGAAAAAATAATAATATATATATATATATATATATATATCCATTTCCCAGTAGTTGAATTGTAGGAGAATATATGATTGGAAGTTTTACAGTCTGGAATGCATACCTATACAATGTGAAAGTAGAGTTCCCTTTTAAGAGTTCTCTTTTTGTGCAGTATAACTGTCTAGAAAGTCTGAGAACGCATCTTTGTATGTTGTCCTTTGCTTTAAGCATCTCAAAGCTTGAAAAGTGTATCTTCATGGAGTATTCCCATACAGCAGCAATATATAAAATGTCTAAAATATCTAAAGTGTACAAGTCCTTCGGGTGATTTATACAAAAATTGAACTTGCTTTAGTTTCACAATCATCAGGTTGCTTGCTGTATAACCTGCACAGAGTATTGTATTGTTTTACCGAACAAACCCTCTGGAGGAGTGATTTACAGACACTACCATGAGCTAAGCAGTGTAGTGTTAGCCATGGACTGTTGTATCTAGAGACGTTAAAATAACTGCTTTAATACGAGTTTCAGAGATGAGTGAACAATAATGTAACCAATGGCAAACCTTGACATCTTGAATTTTTTTTTTATGATCTGAGTAGGGCAGAGGCAATTTTCAATTTTCCTGAATTTTATTACAATACTTTCCCTATTTCTGTATTCCTCCATCTAAATTGGTTTATCACACTGCACTTTATTTGCCAACATAGCTCGAAATGGATCACGGTGCCCTGCTATTATTGAAAACATTGTGAATTAGAATTTGCATATTCTCACATTCCTGATTGTAGCTCTGCAGCTAATGATATCTTTCAACTCAACCATCATTTAGTCCGTGACATTTCTGCCAGACCAATCACGGCATTCTGCTACTTATAGCATTTTGTAAAGCAACTGAGGGTAGCCTTGAGCTACCTAACTCACTCAATTTAGATCGCACTTAGGCATGACTCACTATATGCAAGTCTTATTTAGCTCTGCAAGTTATTTGCTTGCTTGCATAGCTTCCATTTCTCCAAACAGCTCCCTAATCACTCTGTTAATATTTGTCGAACAGTAATTAATCTAGTATGGACTACATATCGCTATGCTAGCATAAGTGTGTTTTATTGCTATAGATTTCTAGCACCGCCATTAATAAGTTGTGTAACATTATGGCACAATCATTTTCACACATTCGTGTGTCATAAAAAAATATTTTACCAAGGTGTCATAAAACAACTTTCGTTATTTGACTATTATAGCCTTAGTTAATTACGTATATTTTTAAAGGTGTATTTCTTTATTCTTTGTTGAGTCCCAGTTGGACCTTTTATCATGATTCATGAAAAGTTATGTCTTATCACTAATGACAATTTCACCATCATAGTATTCCATTTATACTGTATACTAAGTGTCGCGTCCTCCATTCTCTTTTTTATTTTGTTATTTAAATCCACAGGGGTTAACCACCATCTAGGAGGTTTTACACTGGCTACAGTTCTCCTTTTTTTCCCCTCTCTCATCTATAAAGTCATTTATCTTCATGGAGTATTCCCATACAGCAACACTATATAAAATGTCTAAAATATCAAAAATGTACAAGTCCTTCGGGTGATTTGTACAAAAATCTAATTTGCTTAAGTTTCACAGTCATCAGGTTGCTGTATAACCTGCACAGGGTATCGTATTGTTTTACTGAACAAACCCTCTGGAGGAGTGATTTACAGATACTACCATGAGCTAAGCAGTGTAGTGTTAGCCATGGACTGTTGGATCTAGAGAAGTTAAAAAACCTGCTTTAATACGAGTTTCTGAGATGAGTGAACGATAATGTAACCAATGACAAACCTTGACATTTTGAATTTTTTTTATGATCCAAGTAGGGTAGGGGCAATTTTCCTGTTTACAATGTGCTTCATAAACTTTATTACAATACTTTCCTGCTTAGTGCAGAGCAGGGGTGCCCGAAAGGTAGATTCCCCCAGATGTTTAACAACTACAGCTTCCATGATGCTTTGTCATTCTAAAGGCATGCAAAGCATCATGGGACATATAGTTTTACAATAGCTGGGGATCTACATTTTGGAATTCCATTTATGAAATCACTATTGAAAAAATATTTTGCAGGTGATTTGGAGCCTCCAGTGTACCATCAAGACTACAAAATAGTAAAATGAAGCATGATGCTGTATTTGTGTAATTTGATATGATAATGTATATCTCTTTAAAAACAAAATTAAAAAGAAAACACAGTAAACATGTATTAGTGAATATCTGTAGTTCGTGCATGATGAAAGTCATTGTTTGTGTTAATAAATTCAATCTAGATTTCATATCTTGCATATCCATTGCCCCAAATGTTATATGAGGTGCGCTCTACATCAGATAAGTATTTTAAAATGCACAGTTTTCTTCAACAATACATAATCTAGAAACTGCAATGCAAATACATAAAAATCCAGTCTAGCAGATCTACGGCAACTATGCATGCACTTTGTCAAACATTTTGGATTATATGGTGCATGGTTAAATGGTCCAAACTTTAAAATAGATATTTTAATATTTTAAGGGAGATTTATCTGAGTGTTGTGAAAAGTGATGCAAAGTAGCAAACGTAGACAAAAGGAAAATGCTTGTGGATTCCATTTGTTTGAAAGTAATTGTCCAGCTCTAAGGCCATATTTTATATCACAACACTTTGATAAACCAAAATATCAAAAAAACTTTGTATTGAGTGGTGACTTAATATAACACAGTATGTTGAATGAAGGTTTGGCTTGGCTTATTTTGTGTATTATATATATATATATCTCGCGAAAGGGGTCCCTATGTTGTGATTTGCAAAGTAATGTAAAGGTTTTGTAAGTTGTTGAATTATGTGGAAACTAAAGGAATCTGTGTGTAAATTCCATTTGGGATTGCTCCGTATTCAAAACTTTAGACCAGTTTTCCGATCATGACATTTTAACAAATTTTTCCCGTTGTGTTGGAAAGAAAGTCAAACAGTTCACATTTATAAACACAAGAGGAATTGTGCATAATCATTGCTTCCCCTGTTGTTTATTGTATTGAAATAATTTACTCAATTGGTTTTATTCTTTTAACTGTACTCTTTTGAACACCAAATTGCAAAATGTAAGCTAAAATAACAACGCTGTGACTAAAAGCTTTCTTGCCTCAATTTTGCAATTAGTTTTTTTCAGATAATTACAATTCAAAATGTGGCAAATAAACCCAATGTCACCAATTTGTTATGTAGACCTGTTTTATTTTTGTGTGTCATTTCTCTGTGCAATCTTCTTAGGAAGAACAGATAAAAAAAAAAGGAAAGAAGAAATAAAAGGCATGACTGGAAAAATGAAGCAACACAACAGCGCTGCATAAGAAAAGTAGTTAGATTATGTGGCCATGTGTCCACCACACCCTACATAGTTTTTGGCTTATACTTACATTAAAGACTCATCATGCGTATAAACCATTTTAAAAGTGACAGAGTCCAAGACTTCTACCCTCACTGCCCAAGAGCATATTAAGGTGTTTGTAGGATGAAGAAAACAGTGCAGGTTTTGTGGCTTAGCTTCATCACCTAGAAAATGCATTAAATAATAAGTAAATGAAATAGAGTACAAAACATTAACCCATCTTGTATCTCACGGAACGCAAACTGGAATATGCTTTACGCAACAAATAGAAGTACAGTAACAAAGACATTCAAAATGTTCTTCATTTATGTTAGATCTCTTCTCTGTAGGGCAGGTCCAATAAAAGATATGTTGCAAAGTTTGAGGTCTAGTGACCTGAACAAACAGAACTATAAAGTATCATATCTATTATGTTAGTTAACACTTTTGACTTTAAAATGCTTTGATCATTTTAAATTAATGAACTATATGAGACTGCCATTAATAAGGTCCTCTCACTCAAAAATCAATGCTAGAGCTCTATCCAAGGATGAGCTTTTAACTTATGACCGTTACATGACAAATAGGTAAAGGGTCCAAAATATTTTAAAAATACCTAATTTTAAGCTCTCACCACAATATTTTTGTTGTCAGCTAGGTTGACATGTGATGCGCTTTTTGCTTGTTTATTTACCTGGTTTCTTGGATTCAAGTAGAATTTCAGAGCTCCAGTTACCCCAGCTTTCTTGACTGATACTCGTTTTCAATCTCATTCTTGCAAAGTATCGGTCTCCTGAAACATGATCTATACTGATGGATGCCCAAGAATCTTTGCATTCTCCTATTAATGAGTTCTAGAGACACAAAAACAATAGGCTGTGAGCTATAAGAAATTCTCATAAAACACGCCAAATACATATGTATTTTATTTTGAATAATCCATTAGCACTCCATTGAAACAGATAGGTAATATTAGGAATGAATTTACCCATCTAAGCTGTGAGAGAAATGTATTTATGTGAGAGAAATGTAACCAGAAGTTTGGTTAATAAGCAATAATGACATGGTGGCTGGACAGACCTGGTAATTTGACACATTACCAGAACTTTGCTTTGTATACTTCTCCTCTACTCGTTCCAATATTGGGTGTGGAGATGTAGGGGCCATTTGTACACAAGCAGTTTTATCCCATGCTTTCAATATCGAAAGCATGTTTTATCCCATGCTTTCAATATTGAAGTAAATGGAAAAGGAAATAAGCCATTCCTGGTTCTTTTGCAGGAGTATGTGGGGATCATTGATTAATTTTTAAACTATTTACTTATTGCAGGTAGTGGACCTAATTATATTTGCAATACTTAGGAATAGGGATTTTATTTATTCTAGCCAGCATTAAGGCAGTTAAGGAATTATAGGGATATATGAGGTCAGTTTAAGGAAAACTTGATCCATGTCAATTCAATTTCTCTTCAAATTAAATATTGTGAATTTTATTGAAACTGTAGGATCCAAAAAGTCATAATTGCTTTGATCAAATTTTCTACTGTGCATTTCTCATACAGAGCGCAGCAATTGTGGAACGACCTCCCGCACACTTTAAAATCTTCCCCAAGCCTAGAGTCCTTTAAGAGATCCCTCTCTACATACCTCAAAACAGAATGTACATGTCATGGGTGATTATATATTTCCTAACTGTTCTATGGTAAATTTTGTATATATTGTGTATTAATATTGGTTTTGTATTTTGTATTTGTATTGTATTTGTATTTTATTGTACCCTAATGTAGCAATGCAATGTTTTGTGAACCCGGGACATACTTGAAAACGAGAGAAATCTCAATGTATCTTTTCTGGTAAAATATTTTATAAATAAATATTGTATAGCATTATTATGTATACTAATATATATTAAAAATGTCAGTTATCTATAACTAGAAATGTTTGATACCAAAAATGTAGTAGAAACATATGCAGATACTAGTATATAATTATCTGAGGTTGCAAATTGGCCCTCTCCCAAAACATTTGGTGCGTGTTCGTATTGCTTTTGCATAAAAGTTTATTTATGCTAGCTATTCCTTTTATGGGTATATATATATATATATATATATATATATATATATATATATATGTGTGTGTGTGTGTGTGTGTTTGTGATGATAATATTATATCATTTGTATGATTGCTACATTTTGCTTATAGACCCTGTTCCAAATTATTATGAAAATTCTATTTAAGTGTCACAAAGATGAAATATTTTGTTTTTCAGTTTAACTCATGGATGGCGTTGTCTCTCAGGGCTCTTTTAATCACTGAAAACAATCTCAGACACCTGTGATAATTAGATTGCCAGGTGAGCCCAATTTAAGGAAAAACTATTAAAGGAGGGTGTTCCACATTATTAAGCAGAGCACTATTTTCATGCAATATGGGGAAGAAAAAGGATCTCTCTGCTGACAAAAAGAGTGAAATAGTTCAATGCCTTGGACGAGGTATGAAAACATCAAATATTTCACAAAAACTTAAGCGTGATCATCGCACTATTAAGAGATTTGTGGCTGATTCAGAGCACAGACGGGTTCGTGCAGATAAAGGCATTTTGCTGAAGATTTCTGCCAGATCCATGCATCGGATCAAGAGAGCAGCTGCTAAAATACCATTGCATAGCAGCAAACAGATATTTGAAGCTGCTGGTGCCTCTGGAGTCCCACGGAAATCAAGGTGTAGAGTCCTCCAGAGTCTTGCAACTGTGCATAAACCTTCTATTTGGCCACTACTAACCAATGCTCACAAGCAGAAACGGCTGCATTGGGCAGAAAAATACATTAAGACTAATTTTCAAACAGTCCTGTTCACTGATGAGTGCCATGCAACCCTGGATGGTCCAGATGGATGGAGTAGCGGATGGTTGGTGGACGGCCACCCTGTTCCAACAAGGCTGTGACATCAGCAAGGCAGTGGTGGAGTCATATTTTGGGCCAGAATCATGGGAAGAGAGCTGGTCGGCCCCTTTAAGGGTCCCCAAAGGTGTAAAGATGACCTCTGCAAAGTATGTGGGACTTCTGACTGACCACTTTCTTCCCTGGTACAGAAGGAAGAACTATGCTTTCCGTAATAAAATCATCTTCATGCATGACAATGCACCATCTCATGCTGCAAAGAATACCTCTGCATCAATGGCTGCTATGGGGATAAAAGGAGAGAAAGTCATGGTGTGGCCTCCATCCTCCCCTGACCTCAATCCTATTGAGAACCTTTGGAGCATCCTCAAGCAAAAGATCTATGAGTGTGGGAGGCAGTTTACATCCAAACAGCAGCTCTGGGAGGCTATTTTGACATCTTGCAAAAAAATTCAAACAGAAACTGTCCAAAAACTCACAAGTTCAATGGATGCAAGACTTGTGAAGCTGCTATCAAATAAGGGGTCCTATGTTAAAATGTTTAAAAAGTTAAAATGCTGTTATATGTTTGATTGAAATAGCTTTTGATTTCAGTAAATATGCTGCAAACACAACAAATGAAAATTTTCAGGTCTTTACAACCTATAAAGTGTTTTGAAACTTACTGTGCGTAATAATTTGGAACAGTGCATTGTACGTTTTTTATATTTAAAAAAAATACTGTTATCATTAGGAGGTTTGTTCAATAAAATTTGAATTGTACTCTTAATAGATGATAACATGAGAATTATGCTGTTATTTACATCAATTATTTAGGTAAATGAGAAAAATATAATTTGCATAATAATTTGGAACAGGGTGTAAATGCATTGCATTTTATACTACTTAGTAGCTGTAATGGAGCTCCCTGTACCCTGACTGGGTACCTCCGCCAAGGACCACTTCCTAGCTGCAACAGTAGACAAACTGCAGCGCTTCTGCCCCCCAGTCACCGTGACTTGACTGTGGTCCTGGAACCTCTCTGTCCTGGAGCAGGCTAGGGGACATGCTCTATCCACTCCTAGGGACTGGACAACACACAGTCCTGGGAGCTGGAGTCCTTACAAGGACTTTTCCACTGAATCCTCTATGCTGAAACACGCTGGAACAGTGATTAGCCCTTTCCTCTCCCAGTAACTATACAGCATGTTCGGGAGTTTCAGTGTCATGCAAACACCTCGTGGTCGTTCATACGAATTGCGGCCACCCAGACGAACAATTAGAACAGTAAGATGAGAACCATTCCAAGGCATTAATAGGGGTTAACAAGCTCCCGGGTCGTCCATGGTTCTTGCGGTTGTTCGGTTCTCGACCGGTATAGGGAAATTACATGAACCAAGCCATTTAGACAGTCTTTTACAGGTTTTCCTGCAGGGGCAATGGTCAAGCAGGCAAGCAGGCTCCTCCAGGAGCTCATGGCAAACAAACGTGGGAAGGGGAGTTTGTCACAGTAGAGTTTTACCTTTGTTTCTTATTCTACTTTCACTGCATCTTGTATTTATAAAAAATGTGACATTGCTGCTTTAACCCCCTTAGTTTCTGCAGACGTACAGGGTACATCAGCCAAAAAACAGTCTTTAACGACCGCTGACGTACCCTGTATGACCGAGGCCAAAATGAGCACTGGAAGCGATCACTTCCGAGTTGCCGCAACTTATACCGCCCACACCCTTAACAGCAGAGCTCTATATAGCTCTTGAAAGTGTTAGTGTGCTGTCATTCCAATATACTACCTTACATGTTTTTGTATAATTACTACACTTAGATGATGTGTTATCTTTGTTTTTGTGAAGAGATTCATCTATCAACAAGATTGTGTGATATCCATGTATGTATATACTCATATCTGTTTGTAACCACAGGCACGGATTATCTCTTTCCTTTCTGTTGTATTCTAACTTTCACAAGGTTGGGGAAATCCTTTTTGATTATCTGCTACCTTCACCAATCTTTTAAGATATAGTGAGCACCTATACTTCATATTTTGTCTGGTGCATATTATGGTAAAATATATCACCTGGATTAAGATAGTCTAATTTATCTAGTTGTTGTTTAACTATTGCAGCCTAGCTTTGCATAGGGATGCTTGTGATCTTGACAAACATCTATGGTATGTTTACATTTCACTTTATTATCTCAAGTGTCAATGGAGACATGAATTGTGTCCTCAGACCAGCAATGCCCCTATCTTTGGTCCTCCTGTCACAAACGGATATCTTTCAAATTCATCAGTTTTGCATTACATAAATCTCATTCAGATACCGAGACCGTGTAATGTTAAACACTTGAGTCTACTGTACGGAGTGACAATTCCGGGATTGAATGACTCAGATCCCCGAGAAAAGAAACTGTAAAAGTAAGACAATTAGAGATAAGTATCCCTTTCATCTTTATGAATGCATATATTACATATATTATCTATATACACTACATAAAAATGGCTGCTAAATCCCAATGCACTGAGATGAAGAAGAAAAAAAATATAATACACAGTAGATAGCCACTTTATTTCACTTTCAAATAATTCAGGTGAACTTTAAAAAAAAATAAAAAAAAATCGGAAGTTGCCCTCCATGTTGTGACACTTGCCTCAGGCAGCATAATTATATATTTCCCAATTAGACATCAAAGAGTCTTATTAGCAAAGCATCCTGATCCTCGGCTGCTTTGCCAAGATTCTTTGAAGTCCATAGTTGGCAGTAAATTCAAGGGGTCTTAATAATGTCTTATCGTCAGTTTGGACCAAAAAAAATAAATGTTTAAATATATTAAAGCAATGATCTATCAGAAAATGAAAGATGGAAAATAATATCTCTCTTTCTCTATTTATATATATATATAAACACATACACATCAAATGATATAGTAAGTATATACAAATATCAAACTAAAATTGAGGAATTGAGTTAAAAATATTTGTATGCTATTTACATACTTCATGTGGGGGTCTCCCAATAACTAGATGGTAGCCCTAGGCTTTTTTCTTATTTTAACATCATGTAAAGTGATATGTGTATATGTGTGAGTAAAGCATTGTCCATACACTCCTTCCACTAAAATATATTGTTTTCATTTATTGCTAGAAAGCTATTTATCGTTACTCTCGATGCCCCAGACTATAGCTGGACATGAGAGGTCAATTTATAACAAAAAAAAAAGTTAATGTTATTTTAGCTTGATCAGAACTGCCCCAGTTAAACAAGTAATGTTTCCGTGCTTTCACCTTAATTTCCTAGTTATTTTTAAGACCATAAAAATGGCATTACAAGTCCTTAGAAACTGTTCACAGGAAAATTTAAAAATAACCGCTTTGTCTGACCTTAGTTAGGTTTTAATTTGTTTACGGTTTATGTTACTGCTAGATAGGAAAACAGGAATTACTCTGCCACCTGTCCTGGGTTAATGGATGTGCCACAATAAGTGTTTTGAAAGCCCACTGTACCGGAGATGAGGAAATAACAGACGGTTAGTAGGTCTCCATTCCGGTATTAGAGAATTTCTGCAGAGAATTACCTGGAGTTACTTTGCATCTGGGCAAAACAATATCTTTGCTCTCCCTCAAGAATTGTAATTTGTTTGTGTGTTGGTCTCGGCACTATGCTTCACCCTAGTATATTTATTTCTTCCCTCTTTGCGTGTCTCTCTCAATCCCCTTTTATTCCTTTACATGTCTCTTAACCCCACGTGTGTATCTTAGCCTTCCTTTGTGGCAAATTCTGTTTTATCTCATATATTTTCCCCAAAATATTTGATCACTATCCATGACTCTCATCACCTACCCCTCTATGTTAAAACTCCAAGAGTGCCTCTCCCCATGGCCATCCAATGTGCCCAGAGAGTCGGGAGGACTGTAGCGGAACTTAGGCATCCTTCTATGGAATACCCACTTGGCCGCGCCTATTTGCATGGTCCAGTCAAATTCAACCTCCATTTCCCCCCACTTCCCAACCAGCCAGGAGAATGCTAGTTGGAGGTGAGTACAAGAGACTAAGAGGAACAATCGCTCCCTAAGAGTCAGGAGTTCCTGATATTTGAATAGGCAAAGCCATATTCACTTTGGAACTCCGTTCAGCTTTAACTTTGCTAGCGGCCAGTCAAAAACCTTACCCTGGTGGCAATTAATTCTTCAGGGATCCAATCACTGTTTTGCCAACATGGGCGCTCGGTTCAGAGTTATCTGGGGATATATTGGAGTTCCTGTTGGTTTTATTATTTTTTGGGGGGTATTTTGTGTTGTGCTCTTTGTATCCAGGAGATAATCAGTTTAAGCGAGGGAAAACTCAATTATCTCCCAGACACAGAGGCACTATGATGGGATCACTTAATGTTAAATAGGGACCAATGCTGGGGGTCTTTGTATAAAAGACTGTACTTATGACAATAAAAAACTGTTGTACTCCCAGAAACATGTGTCATATGATTACTGCGGGAAAGAGCTATATTCACTAGCCAGTGCTTCTTCCAGCTATGAGGAGAATTTAGCAGAGCTATCCAATCGGAATATAGGAGCTCCGCTACACCCTTTATCGTCTTCTGTTTCTTAAACCCCCTTAACTCTTTGTGTTTTTTTTTCTTTTCTCTCCCTTATTCCTTTTGCCCCTTTTGTGTCTCTTAGGCTATCTTACACCACGATATTTGGGTACTGTGACATTCACACCCGCTACAGCGGAAGAGGTTTCTGCTCTGCTCCAGTCCTCTCGCCCCACCACCTGCTCCCTAGATCCAATTCCCTCGCATCTCATCCGTACTCTATCTTCTTCTCTTTCTCTACCTCTCACTAAAATTCTCAATCTCTCTCTCTCCTCTGGCATATTTCCATCGCTCTTCAAACATGCAACTATAACCCCAATTCTAAAGAAGCCAAACCTTGATCCTAACTCCCCGTCCAACTGCCATCCTATCTCGCTACTGCCTTTTGCATCCAAGATCCTTGAAAGAGTTTTGTATGCCAGATTGACAGACTTCCTCAAGTCCAATTCTCTGCTAGATCCACTTCAGTCTGGTTTCCGCGCCAAGCACTCTGTAGAAACGGCACTGACCAAAGTATCCAATGATCTACTCGCTGGTCACTACTCTATCCTAATTCTCCTTAACCTTTCTGCAGCTTTTGACACTGTTAATCATCAACAGCTTCTTCTCATCCTCCGCAATATCGGTCTACAAGATATTGCTCTCTTCTGGTGCTCCTCCTACCTCTCCCAGCGCTTTTTCAGTGTTTCTTTCTCTGGCTCTACTTCTTCTCCCAAACTCCTCTCTGTTGGTGTCCTCCAAAGTTCAGTCCTTGGTCCCCTATTGTTTTCCATCTATACTGCCTCCCTTGGTAAACTCATTAGCTCCTTTGGCTTCCAATATCATTTCCATGCGGATGACATGCAAATCTATCGGCACTCTCCTGATCTCTCCCCGTCCCTCTTGACTAGTGTCTCTGACTGCCTCTCTGCTATTTCTAACTGGATGGCTGCCCACTTCCTTAAACTCAACTTGACCAAAACTTAAATTCTGGTCTTTCCTCTCTCAAGTGTTGCTACTCCAGTGTCTGTCTCCCTCCAAGTCAACGGTGCTACCATCAGCTCCACCACGCAGGCTCGCTGCCTAGGTGTTCTCTTTGACTCTGACCTCTCCTTCACGCCTCATGTTCAGTCGATCGCCAAATCCTGCCATTTCCATCTCAAAAACATTGTGCACATCCAACCCTACTTAACGCCAGATGCGACTAAGGTGCTGGTCCATTCCACTGTCCTTTCTCACCTTAATTACTGTAATCCACTTCTCAGTGGTCTTACATGCTCCCAACTTACACCATTACAGTCCATAATGAAAGCGGCGGCAAGGCTCATCTTCCTGTCTGCTGTACCACCCACAACTCACCCTTCCTTCAGTCCCTACATTGACTTCCTGTAGGATATATGGCTCAATTTAAAATTCTGGTTGTTGCTTTCAGATCTCTACATAATGCTTCTCCCACCTATCTATCCTCCCTAATACACAAGTATGTCCCGTCTAGGCCCTTACGCTCTGCTGAAGACTTACGTCTATCTTCTGTCCATACTCCCACCTCTGGGCTTCTCGAGGGCTGCACTGTTCCTGTGGAACTCACTTCCCTCCTCCGTTAGATGCACACCAAGTCTCCACCCCTTCAAAAAAATCATTAAAAATCCACTTCTTCATAAAAGCGTATCAATTAAACTGTTAATAGCTCCCAACTGATTCCTCTCTTGCAACTGTCATTAGCATAATACTATCCTTACCTTTTTGTGTCACTTTACCCGACTCCCTCTAGCATGTAAGCTCATTGAGCAGGGCCCTCAACCCCTCTGTTCCTGTGTGTGCAACTTCCCTGGTTACAACTACATGTTTGTTCATCCACCCACTGTAAAGCGCTGCAGAATTTGTTGGCGCTTTATAAATAATAACATAAGAATAATTGTGGTGGGCTTAACACAGTATGGACATATGGTGTAACTGAATACCTAAGTTACGTAATTGTAAGTATCTTGTGACTTGCTGCCCCTTGTATATTTTGCTCTCGCTTCCACTTTTGTGTCCTTTACCCTTCTATTGCAATGTGGCCACTTAGACCACAGTATAGAATCTACTATCACCACTAGAAGCAACTCAAAGCTTGCACTGAGTATAATATATATCCCTAACACCTCCAGTAGCTTTTCTCAGACTGTGTAGAGGAGAAAGAAGATTAGTACTCGAGCCAAAATATTGAGATCAAAATTGTTTTAATAAAATGACTCATGTTCATCATTATACTTTGCATGTTTTGCTAAACCCCATCTTTTTTTTCAGAAACTTAGTCCTGCTCCACTACTCCCAACTTCCTGTATGACTTCTGTCCAACACAATCTCCAAACCCTGCTATTAAGTCTTCAACACAACAAGCATTCCTTGTTACCTCCCATGTCTCCAACTCTCGTCTGTACTGGACTTCACACTGTAGGATTTCTGCAGATTGGTGTGTTTGGAATAGGTATTTTATATCCGATAAGTGTAGAAAGTGAGTTTCATCAGTAGAATAAAGTTCAGGTTTATGTTGCTCCTCTTGTAAAGCATCTGTTTAAAAAAGGGAAAAAAAACAAAAACATTTAACATTTGTTTTTAAAAAAAAGTTAAAATATGTAATTATCATTATTTATAATATTTAATGATGCTGTTGTGAAAATAAATTTTAAATATACATTATGGTAGCCAAATATGCACTCAGACAACTTCCACTAAAAGGTTGTATGACAGTCATGTACATCCCTCTAAGTCAACGGCGACACCATCACCTCTTTGACTCTGACCTCTCCTTCACCCCTCATGTCCAGTTGATCGCCAAATCCTGCTGCTTCTGTCTCAAAAACATAGCTCGCATCCACCCCTATTTAACACCAGACTTAGCTAAGATACTGGTCCATGCCGTTGTTCTTTCTAGCCTTGACTACTGTAATCCCCTTCTCAGTGGTCTAATGTGTTCACAAAATGCATCGCTGCAATCTATAATGAATGCGGCGGCAAACTCATTTTCCTGTCCACACGCACCTCCCATGCCTCTTCCCTCTGTCAGTCCCTACATTGGCTACCAGTTAGATATAGGGCTCAATTTAGGATTCTGGTGCATGTTTACAAGTCCCTACATACTGCTGCTCCAACCTACCTATTGTCCCTAATACACAAGTATGTCCCGTCGAGGCCCCTGCAATCTGCCGAACGCCTACGTCTATCCTCTGTCTTTACTCCCACATCTGATGACTTTTCCAGAGCTGCACCTCTTCTGTGGAACTCCCTTCCCTTCTCTGTTAGATGCTCACCCAGTCTCCACTCATTCAAAAAAATCTTTGAAAACACACTTCTTCAGGAAAGCATATGATTAAAACTGTTAGAGGGTTTGTTTTTTATGTTTTCTTTGTTTTATTATTTCTAGCAACCTGTAGCGGATCCCCGGGTAATCTGACCAGTTACCTCCGCTAATGCCTTTCTTTAGCCGTTCAAGAACCCTTACAACAATTAAGTCACACATGGTTTTACATGCACAGACTCCAACATGGGGTCTCCGACACAGCAGCCCCTGCAACCTGAGCTGGCAGTGTCCCTGTGTCCATGTCCTGCTGTGCCAGGAAAAGGGAGGGGGAAGGGGGAAAGATACAGGCAGACCATACACTCACAAAAGGAAGGGGGAGAGACACAGAACCATACATTTCACTTCTATACTTTACCTACACAATACACAAAAGACATAAAATTACATGGGGAAACACAGAATACAAGGGAAAACCACACAAATAAGCAGTGGGCATGGTACTTAGTGACGCTGGTCTGTCACACAACCTGTTTCATTACCCCTACTTATACCCTTTGTGTTACTATACCCCACTAGCATGTAAGCTCATTGAGCAGGGCCCTCAACCCCTCTGTTCCTGTGCATCCATTTGTCTGGTTACAATTATTTGTCTGTTAGTCCACCCATTGTACAGCGCTACATAAATAAATAATAAAATAATAATAATAATAGTAATCTGAGAGACACCTCTCAATACAAAATTTGCTTATAGTATTGCTTGTTCACAATTCCAAACATCCATTCCCTACTTTTAAATCCATCCTCTGCCCACAGAGATCTCTCCTGTACAATAGCTTTTTAACCCAGAACCTGATTCACCTTTTAAAAAGTCAACATTAATGCAATTAAGCAAAACACCTTCACATAATGACAACATTGTTATGCAGATGCTGTTCATACCCATTCCTTCATTAAATTGCTTTATTCTAGTCATAATGGATGAGGACTCTGCTCTTCTCCGTTCTTCTAACCTCTCGACCTCCATGTTTGACCCTAGTCCCTCACACCTCATCAACTTCCCAGAGCTCTCTCAGAAAATAACTCGAGTTACAATATTTTAAATAACAACCATATTTTAAAAATACACTTCTGTTTCTTCACGGAAGCAAGAAATATTTATAAAGCATCTTTGGAAGTCAAACAATATAGCCCGTACATTTTAAGGGAAAATATTATTTTTCATTCCCAATCAAGCTTTGATCTTATCTTAGTCCTATACTTATTTTGTGTGAATGTGTGTGTACGTAATCCAGTTGATATCCTGGGACAAAGACAGAAGGGGAAAAAGGTGTACCTCAATGAGATACTTCAGTCTTGACATGACAACCCCATTTTTATTGCTGCATTAGAAATATAAAGCATAGAAATAAGTAAATATATGATCAATTGCTTCTAGATTGCCTTTGTTTCCTGCAAATGAAAGACTGAAATCCTTGAATTATTCATTTCACTGAGAATGTTGTGCATATCCTAGAAATCTCTCATGTAATGGAGGCCTGATTTGTTTGGTGAAAACCACAAGCTCGCTGCACCATTTTTGTGACTGTTTTCCATGTACATGGGTATCTCTGTATTACAGGCATCTCTGTATTATACATAGAATAGTGTGTGCCTGTATATGCAGCTGTGGGTCAACAGCAGCTCTTTATGAAGGCATAAAGTATAGTCAGGTGTGAAATGTATTTTGTGGGCTAATCAAGTTAAATGCTGCACTGTGAGTAACGTCTTGCTGTGGGAGCCAGCAAGTCTATCTACTACAGCAAAGGGCTGTGTCTATGTAACCCTAGAATGCTCTGAAGGGACAGTGGATCCAATCAAGATAACCGTTTGTTGTCAGGGTGTATTGGCACAAGGGGGCGGTGGGGGAGAACTAGTGTAAGGAATCACTTTGTAGCTTTCTACTTCTTTTCCTGCATCATGTGCTGTTTTCCCATTGGTGAAAATGTTTGTGCAATGTTTATTTTACTGTATGCTGTGATCTATGTAAGCTGGCTCTACATACAATAAACAGAGTCTGAGTTCTAAGGAGTGGCCAAGAAAGAGGTTGGTTGTCTTTTCCTTGAAGTCTCACAGGATATTGCTATTCATTGTCCTCTATAGAGTAATTACTAAGAAGAATATTGCCAGAAGACTAGATGGATAGAATATCATACAGTAACCAGATATCAGCTCAGTATATCTTGCATACGCCATCAAAGATGAGTCGTAGCGTTTAGGTTATGTATAAAGAATACCCATGGACGATATTAGGCCGTATCTTCACACCTTGGAATAAAGGATTCTCCAATAATGGTTTCTGTTAACTCAAACAGTAGCTATGATTTCTATAAAGTTTTGCAGATACAATGAATAGAAAGAGAAAAGATGGGACTAGATAATTCTGCATATCATAACTGATGTAAGGATCCTAGGTGCTTACGTTGTTTGGATTGTCTTTAAACACTAAATGGTAGTTTCTTAAACCATCCAAATAGTTGTTTTTCTCTGCAGCCTTTTAATGATATGAAGAAACAAAAAAAATTGAAAACAGACTTGGATCAAATCAATTAGAAAGGATTAAAACAGTTTACCTTTGCCAGACAAATTGAGTTGAATGTCCAGATTCTGATCACTTAGAAATGAATGAATTAATTTTGTGTTCAAGGTGAATATTTTTTTTAGGTTTTGTTTGCATGTCAATGTGATGCTAAAAGGTGAGGAGTCTTCTTTCACTTCTGGGTCTTGACAGATATTGCATCTACAATTAAGATAAAAAAATAAGTTTTATACCGCAATATAAACAAACATAATATAATTTAAGAATAACTGATCTAGATATTCACTATTGCTTTTTACATAAATGCAGGTGAAGAGAAATTTCCTGCTCCTAAATTTTCAAATAAATGTTATTACATTTTCAGCAGGATACAGAAATCTTAACGACATAGTTATAGTACAATATTCTATTTTAAACTAGGATCATTTCGAATGCCATTGTGCTATAGAGCAACACAGGAATCTGCAAGATCAGGGAGTTCAGCCAATAAGAAGTAAGCTGACAACTTCACTCTGCTCCGCAACCAATCACCATCCTCTTATTATTTGTATAGTATTTTAAACATGTGCCAAGGGAAAAGTAGGCAGACAATAAGACAGTGATTGGTTGTCCGATGAAGACATGCCAGTAACTTAGGTCACACTAATCTCTTATTGGATTAATCAAGTACATACTCAGAGTACTTCTAGTGATGAAAAGAGATGAAGTGGCTAAAACAGTGGGATTATTCTATTTTTTATTTTTTTTATTTTTTTTAGTAGTAGAGATTTGAATACGGAGAAAAGCACAGCAAGCTTACAAGGCCAAAACGTATCAAATGCGGTTAATTTGTAATAATGCTCTTTTGGCTACAGACTTAATAGTTTATATTTTACAAAGCGTGAAAAAATTATACTTGAGCTCTATGTACTCTTTACTAGACACATTTGTTTATTTCATATTTTTATGGAGTTGAATGGATATGACAAATTAACTGTATATTTTAACCCAAAATAGAGAAGACAGGAATCTGAGATTTGAGCTTATTCCTGATCAGCTATTAGGCAAATATTTTTCATTTCCCTTGTATGCTCATCAACATTCTCTACAAAGAAAATTCCAATGTTGCTCAATTCCATCAAATCAATCCATAATGTCTATTAAATGTCCTAATTGAACTCAAATGGGTCATATGTTTTACGGCAAACTTTTATTATGATACTGACTGATTCATCTATCATCTACTAATCTAGATAAAAACTGCAATAAGCTATGACTGGGAGCATTGGTCATGGTTGGTGACATGTTTAGCAAATTCCATTGAGATTTCTTGGTCCTTGATAAAAAGGAATGCATTTCAATGAAATCAGCAGGGCCACCCCAAAGATTGATAAAACAAAGTACGAAATTTCTACTAAAAACATTGAGTTCCCAGAAGTCAACATTTTTATTTTTATAGAGTGATGAGCATGATTTGGACCAAAATGCAAAAAGAATGTAAGTAACATGCACTATAGGCTTGATGCCCATCCCAATATTCAAGGCATCAATGTAAAGAGTATAAGATAAATGTAATTTATAAAAGACAAACAGCAACCAATACATTGCTCACATATAGACTTACTTCTTCTCATCATCACCATAACACAGACTCATTTTTACAAACTTCATGGAACGCCTGCTTACAGTCCAAGTGCAGCTTTCTTCTGATTTGAAGTCTGTGTAGCATTCCAGGCTGTTGATCAAAACTGTTCCTTTTTAAAGAAAAATATAGAAAATATTAAGACACTAAGGCCTTGATTCAGGGATAAGCTTTTCAAATTGTTTAATATTTCTGGATAAAAACATTTAAAATGTTTTAATATTTAAAAATATTTTATTATTTTTAGATATATTGTTTGATCTATATGTATATGATATATTGTTTGATATTTAAATATTTTGAAAAAATTATAATATGCAATGACCTACCCAAGTGCAGGTCATTGCATATTATACAATATTGCCGAAAATTTGTGGATTGGTGTTGGACAACCATCTCTTTCCAAAATTATTATTTATTAGCAATTCCAATGAATATAAAAAACAATACACACTGCAAGACAATACATATTAAATTAATTATTATTAATTATTACCTTTAACAGCATACAGAAGATGGAATACAATGTAACATAGTGTTGTTGTACTGCAGAAGGCGTTCATCTTTGCAAACAGTTTTGCACTTCTACTGCAGATATTCTTGAGTGTCAATCATATACTTGACTGCTTTGATGCACATGATTAAGAGACCTGCAAACAATACAAGACAAAAAGGATGCTAAATAGGTTTGATGAGACATTTTGTGAATATATTTTTATGTCACGATTGATAATCATGATGATAAATAAACGGATCTGTCACACCGACACATTAATTTTCATGTATTCTATAAACAATGCATTAAATGATATAAAAAACTATCAAATGAAAAAAAAAAACGGATATTTACTTTTGAACTTTCAGTATTGCCTATAAATCCTCTTACCAACTCTAACCAGATCAAAACTTTCAGACAATCATGTTCACATAGATCTTTGTGAGACTGTTGAAATTATGACCGGCAAGGGTATCAAAGAGATATTCTGCTGTCAGTTTGCTTTTGTGGAAGGGAAAAGAACTCTCTAGAAGAGTGGGAATACCAGGAGTTGGCTAGGTGACTAATGGCTAAAATACTACTACATAGAGAATAAAAATATAAAAATATATATATGGTACTATGCCTTTAAATCTGGAATGGACAAAGTATCCCTATAAATGTGCAAAAATGTGAATAAAGGTGCTATGAGTGGAGATCTCAAATAAACGGGATATCCCTTTAAATATGCAAAAATACAAAGAGAATGCTGCTATACCTTTAAATGTCCTTTAAGAATGTGCAAACATGCAAAGCAGTGCTATATAGGGGGGTGATAAATAAAAAAAAATATAAATAAATAAATAAATAAATAAATAAATACAAAAATACAAAAAGGGGAAAGATGAGAGACCAAATTCTCTGCTGGATGACCAAAAAATATGTATGAAACTGGTGTCTATATCCCAAACAACATGAGGGATAAATGATACCTGTTGCAAATAATATACTTAGTAAAAGATAGAAGTAAAAAATAAGCTATACAGTACAAGGAACTGTTAGCTTTAGACAATAAAAATGAAAACAATATATCACTGGAAAACTGAAGCATAAAACTGGATCACTTCATATAAAAAAAAAAATGCCAGTTTATTGAATATATTAAAATAACTTTGGAAAAAGTTAAATATAAAAATACAGGTCACACTAGATTCAGAAATGCATTACCAGACTGATGCATTGAGAAATAACAGCAAGGACCTTCGGATTGTTAAGGATGGATACGGATTGTGATGATTCAATATACAGGTGCCGGTGAGGATGCCACTTCAGGGGACGTGCAGGACAGATGCCTCCGGTGGCGGTACTTTCCAAACAGGTCCTGCATGTGGAGATTAGTGGTGCTGCTGGTACATGCGTCTGATCCTGTGTGTTGCTGGAATGCCTGTCTAGATCAGACAGGCATCAGACGCATGTACGTATCCATGCGTCTGATCCCGTGTGTTGCTGGAATGCCACAGGCATTCCAGCAACACACGGGATCAGACGCATGTACCAGCAGCACCACTAATCTCCACACGCAGGACCTGTTTGGAAAGTACCGCCACCGGAGGCATCTGTCCTGCACGTCCCCTGAAGTGGCATCCTCACCGGCACCAATGACTGGTAGTGACTGTCTAGACAGGCATTCCAGCAACACATGGGATCAGACGCATGTACCAGCAGCACCACTAATCTCCACACGCAGGACCTGTTTGGAAAGTACCGCCACCGGAGGCATCTGTCCTGCACGTCCCCTGAAGTGGCATCCTCACCGGCACCTGTATATTGAATCATCACAATCCGTATCCATCCTTAACAATCCGAAGGTCCTTGCTGTTATTTCTCAATGCATCAGTCTGGTAATGCATTTCTGAATCTAGTGTGACCTGTATTTTTATATTTAACTTTTTCCAAAGTTATTTTAATATATTCAATAAACTGGCATTTTTTTCTTATATGAAGTGATCCAGTTTTATGCTTCAGTTTTCCAGCGATATATTGTTTTCATTTTTATTGTCTAAAGCTAACAGTTCCTTGTACTGTATAGCTTATTTTTTACTTCTATCTTTTACTAAGTATATTATTTGCAACAGGTATCATTTATCCCTCATGTTATTTGGGATATAGACACCAGTTTCATACATATTTTTTGGTCATCCAGCAGAGAATTTGGTCTCTCATCTTTCCCCTTTTTGTATTTTTGTATTTATTTATTTATATATATATATATATATATATATATATATAATTTTATTTTTTTTAAAATTTTTTTATCACCCCCCCCTATATAGCACTGCTTTGCATGTTTGCACATTCTTAAAGGACATTTAAAGGTATAGCAGCATTCTCTTTGTATTTTTGCCTATTTAAAGGGATATCCCGTTTATTTGAGATCTCCACTCATAGCACCTTTATTCACATTTTTGCACATTTATAGGGATACTTTGTCCATTCCAGATTTAAAGGCATAGTACCATATATATATTTTTATATTTTTATTCTCTATGTAGTAGTATTTTAGCCATTAGTCACCTAGCCAGCTCCTGGTATTCCCACTCTTCTAGAGAGTTCTTTTCCCTTGTTCTATATAGGTTTTTAGTGAATCCCTATCATTACCAGTTTTCGAGCAGCTTAGTGCTAGTCTGTCTCCCTCTCTCCTGTGTGGTACATTAGGTACACCAGAACCGTTCTACTTGCTTTTGTGGAAGCCTGCCAGCTGGACTACAACTTCTAGAAACACAAGTCATGTTTAACAAAATGTTTAGAACAAAAAAAAAAACAGCAACAATCAGTTTGAGGAGGTTCCACTTTCTTAATTTCATTCATATTTAAAGCCATTCATTGACTTATTAGTTCACCTTGAGGAACCTCAACTTTGGTCAAACTACTCAAAATGCTTTGGCCAAGAACCAGATGGTAGTGACTGCAATCTTTTGCCATATAGTGGTCTTGGTGCCCATACTGACACTTTAAACTGGCCTTATATAATTAATGAAATATGTTGATTGTGTTCGAAGTTCAATAAATTCCAACACAGTCAAAATTATGTTTTTAAAAATCTATCTTTATGCAATACCAACGTATTAACATATTCAATATCTATCTTTATGAAATACTGAAGTTCCAGTCCGCTTCAATACCCACGTTAGTACTGCTTGCTTGATGCTGAATAAATTCCATTGATAAGCAAGTACAGAAACAATATTGTTTGTTTAAATTTAAAAAAAAATACAGTATTGATAAAGTTTTTCAAATACACACATGTGAGATAATTCTTCTGTATGAATTAAAAATAGCATTTTTGAGCATTAGGTGGATGATACTCTATAAGTTTGCATTTAAGATCAAAATGTTATATGACCCAGTTACATTCAGGTTACTCTAAAGATTATTGAACTATGAACACTAGTTAGGGGATAACCTTTCACTCAAGATATTGTGAAGGAACTTGAAATATTTTTAGTCAGGACCTTTAAACCCTCTGTTTATGGAATACAGACACCAGCCGATTTGAATTACCCAACAATCCAGATTGCCCTCTATGGATTCCCAGCTAGTGCTTGTGCAGATGATAGTCCACAGCAAATATTAATGGTAAATGGTGTTAAAAATAATTTATTAAGGAATAGGAAACATATCTCTTCAAAGGGAAAGCCTTGAGGTAATTGGATGAGCATCATTAGTAGTAAAGACTATTGCGTAACAATTATCCTTAGCATTACTGGCTGTTGCAACACCATTACTAAAGTGTTCGAAGTCCAAGGCATATCATTTATTGTTATGTTATGTAAAGGAAGAGGATATCTGCAAACACAAGATGAAGCAATACCCAGAGAACATTAAATCTTATGCTCATGGAAAGTTAGCAGGCAGTTCAGTAGAACACGGTCTTTGTGAAGTAATAAGGCTTTTAAAGTGTCTAAGCACCACATTAAAGTAATTATGGTGCAAATACCCTGTCCATGCAGCCTTTCATTTAAAAAAATGTTTAATTCTGGAGATGAAAAAAAGAAAATAAAGAAGTTTTCTGTATTTAGGACCACCTTCCTGGACTGTCAATCAGGCACCTGGAATACTCTCTTCCTGCTGGCAATATTCGTTTTGAGCAGCCTTTGATTCTGGTTGCCACAGTCACAGGCAGGGCCGGAGTGGCCCACCGGGATACTGGTAAATTTCCCGGTGGGCCATCGGTACCTGGGACCGGGCAGACAACTGGCAGGGGGAGCTGTGATGGCGGCCGCAGGGGAACTGTGATGGCGGCCGCAGGGGGAGCTGTGATGTTGGCCGCGGGGGAGCTGTGATGGCAGGGGGAGCTGTGATGGCGGCCGCAGGGGGAGCTGTGATGGCGGCCGCAAGGGGAGCTGGCTGCACTGTCTCTGCTCCCCAGCGCGCAGTTTAATGAGACCGGGGCCAGAATATGATGTCATATTCCAGCCCCGGTCTCATTAAATAGCACGCGGAAACAGAAACAGCACAGCCAGCTCCCCCTGCAGCCGCCATCGGAGCTCCCCCTTCGGCCGCCATCAGAGCTCCCCCTGTGGCTGCCATCACAGCTCCCCCTGCGGCCACCAGCACAGACAGCTGTCTGCACACAGATAGCAATTATGTGTGTCAGTGTGAGTGTAGGTGTGTGTATGTGTGTCATGGTGTGTGTATGTCTGTGTCATGGTGTGTGTCTGTCTGTGTCATGGTGTGTGTGTCTGTCTATCATGGTGTGTGTGTGTCTGTCTGTGTCATGTAATGTGTGTCTGTTTGTGTCACAGTGTGTGTGTGTGTGTGTCCTTGTCATGGTCTGTCTGTGTCATGGTGTGTGTGTCAAGGTGTGTGTATGTCTGTCATGGTATGTGTGTGTCTGTGTCATGGTGTGTGTGTGTCATGGTGTGTGTGTGTCATGGTATGTGTGTGTCTGTCAAGATGTGTGTGTGTGTGTCTGTCATGGTGTGTGTGTGTGTGTGTCTGTGTGTCTGTGTGTGTTTTTAAAAATAGTGTTTTTACTCACCTTCCCACCCCCCCCCACGTAGTGCTGGTCTCCCCTCGACTGGCCCTGCCTCTATGGCTGAGATAATCAAGCTGATGATCTCAGCCAATCCGCACTGAAACAGGAAGCACTTGTAGTGACCGTCTGAGTGTCTGTCACTAGGAAGCAAGGTAAACACTGCCTTTTTTCTGAAAAGTCAGTATTTACACTGAATAGCCTGCAGGGACAGGCTATAGACACCAGAACCACTACATTAAGCTGTGTGTGTGTGTGTGTGCGCATGCTAGTGAGTGGGCTTGCTTGCATGTGTGTGTGTTTGCCTGCTAGTGAGTGAGCTTGTGTTTCTATGTCAATGAGCTTATGTATATCAGTGAGATTGTTTGTCTATGAGGCTGTGTATCAATATATATATTACTCAATCATCTGGGGTGGCAAGACATAGCTTTACATATTACATGCGACAATATATGGCGCAATAACTTATGGAGCTGGCATAGATTTTTTTTCCAGGGCTGCTTTGTATCCCCAGTCCGGCCCTGGTCACAGGCATACTATGCACAGATGTCTAGGGCGAGACTGTTCTGAGAAAATGTAGGTGGCTTACCGATAGTAATTTATGCAACTAACGTGATTTAGAACAAGAGCAATGTATGTTATTTACACAGACTAATTTCTAAATACATTTATTGTAGTTGACAGACACATTACTGTGAATATTATTGCTGACATTATGGATTGGCTCTGAGACACTAAGAATACTGAGCTTCTACAAAAGAGGGGCATTCGTACAGAAAGGTGTACAGATGGATTTGGGACACAAATAAGGACTGTGCCTCCTAAATAGGGACATTTGGGATATATACCATAGCAACAAAGCTCACAGTAATGCGTTTACGTGTATTGTGATAATAGGTAATAGGTATTCTAAATAAAATGCAGTGCTGTTGTTCTAAATGGTTCAGTTTGTTGCATAGATAGCTATAAAATATTATTCAGAAATTCATGTAAACATCCATGAACATGCACATTGCTTTACCATGCCTCCAGCTCCCCACCTCCCCAATTATTGCCCCTCTTTGGACAATTTTGTACTGAGATTCATAGGAATCTCAAGAACAAAACTGCACTTTAAGGGTTAAGCTATTATTCAGCGTAATCTGAAAAGTTATCATGCAAGCTAGCAGGAAGTCCTTTTATTGTACAAACTGTTTTGTTTTTCTTTATGCCTGTTGTGTATTACACATAGGATGCGACTTGACTGTGCAGATAAACTTAACTCTGTCAGGTTAATTCACTAAAGGTAATGCATAGTTGGAAATTGAAAATTAATGTGAACATTTTAGGTAAACATACTACCAAACTGAACACAGAATTGAAACATCAAAAAAATCTAATTCTGCTATTGTGGCTCAAAATAATACATTAACAGTGAATTGCTGACAGTTCACTATGTATCGAAAAAGCATGTAGACTTTACTAGTAAACTAGATTATGTAAACTTTTGCATGTCTTAATAATTGAGCATTCTTACTCAGAACCATGCATGTTTATATATAAAATCCCATGTATGCCTTTACTTCACATGGCATGAAATCTAATATCTCATAATACTCACTTTTAGGAGAACTCAATAACGATCCCAGATAAGGAGCAGGACTGGAACCAGATTATTACTATATAGGAGATCTGTGTGTGTGCTAGCTATGCATGACGTGCAATGGATAAATAAAATGATCTGTATGACTAAATACTTTTAAAGAAGTTAAGACATTTGATTGTAAAACTATGTGACTTAAAAATAAATCAGACTTTTATTTGAGGTCACATGTTTTCTCTAGAAATGACTTGCATTTAAAATTATTATCTCTAACTGCGTTGTGAAAATCTGTACATATTATCTTGTGGTTGTACAGCAAGCTGTAGACCGTTATGAAGAAAACATGCACACAGTTATGCCATTCTAGGTTTTTATTACATACAGTGTGTCTTGACAAATTACAGAAATAAAAAAATATACCATTTGTAATAAACTATTTTGCCTTTTTAATAAACTAAATGAGGAATTGTAAATATTTGACAATGGAATTAAAAAGCTAAGACTAGCGTAGAAAATTAAAAAAAAATCCTCAAGCCTAGATATTTTGGCCTAAAAATTGTGATTTCCTGGTCAATTTTCCACAACACTTTAGTAACTAGGCCCCTGTGAATGCATTCTTGCTAACATTAGCAATAACACAGCTGGGATGGGAGTGGGCAGAAACATGTCAGGGAGGTGTCAATGACGCTCACTGGGGGAGATGTCAGTGTACCTTACTTTCTGGTTCCTAGGGCACACCTTGGTGGTCCCACATATTTTAGGGGTGTTGCCACACTAAAAATAGCTGGTTAAGTTTGGTTTGTATGTCCTGCTGGGCTTCTTTACCTTTTTCAGTAGAATGTTATACATTTAGTATTGTCTACCTGATTTTGATCTCGGTTATTATTGAATATTCTCTTTTTTGTAATCCTTTACTCAACTATTGTCTCTTGCTATGCTTGATTTCTAGTTCCCTGTATCTGACTTGTTCTTTACTATTCATTATTTGGTTACGTAAAGTCCGGCCACTCTGTGGACCAGTATGTGTTAGACATTCCTTTTTTTAGGGTACACTCTGCGTGCTGGGTCTCACTATTAAACTGTTGGGCAAGTATGAAAAAAATTGACTTTTAGTGTGCACAAAACTCGCAAATCTTAAACAGATGCCCTACTCACACATATGGTGCATTTGACATATAGATGCTGCTGAAGTTGTAAGGTATGCTGCCATATATAGGTGTAACCTTAATCAGAATGACCTGTTCTGCATGATGGAGCTTTCACAGTGATTTGTGCGTGACTTGCATTACTCTGTGACAAGCAGTATGTCATGGTGCCTGCTTTTACTTATCTGCTCCAGCACCCCAGCAGTGTCCTGGGAGCAGGTCTTGAGTGCTGACACTCCAGTGGAGCTCCCTGAGGATCTGGCATCCTCTGTCAGCACCAGGATCCTGGAGGGAGCTGCCCCGTTAAGATGTTGGCAACCTTGTAGACTTGTGGCATGTGGAGCTGGGAAGAAAGGAGCAGGGGTGCTTGAGGAGCAGGTGGGAGAAAGTTCAGCAAAATCAAGATATCACCAGGTCCCACTTCCTCCTTTATGGCCACTGGGTGCTTCGCCTACAGAGATGTGGGGGCAGGTCATATGATCAGCTCTCCCTATAAATAGCCAAGCACTGCACTTGGTCGGGGCTTGGTTTTCTCTGGTCCTTGCAACAGTCTCCTGGTCCTACTTCCGGATCCTTGTTCCTGACTTTTGTTTCTGGTTCCTGACCAGTGATCATGGTTCCTCAACCATGTTCCTGGTTTCTGATTCTTGGTTCTGGTTTCCTGGTTCTGGATTTCCAGTAAACGTCTCAGCTTTTAACCCTTGGCTCTGGTCCTGACCATGCTTCTTGACCACTGGCGTACATACCAGGGTCGCAGGGGTCGCGACTGCGACCGGGCCCGGCCCACCAGGGGGCCCGGCCGCCCCAACGACACGGTATGTACGCCCAGGGCCAGCCTCTTCCCCTGGGGGGCCCAGGAGCCGACCACCCCAGGGCCCCCCTGAGGCTGGCCTTGCTGACCCTGGGTGGCCGGTAGGGCAGGCAGGCGGGCGCGCGAGGGAGCACTCAGTGCTTCCTCTTCAGCTCCCTCGCGCGCCGCGTAGGGATGCCGGCGCCGGAAGATGACGTCATCTTCCGGCTCCGGTATCATTGCGGCGCGCGAGGGAGCTGAAGAGGAAGCACTGAGTGCTCCCTCGCGCGCCCGCCTGCCTGCCTGGCCACCTGCCCAGGAGCCCCACTGGACCCCAGGGAATCCCCCCAGCACTCCAAAAGGTAAGGAGGCTGGGGGGGATTATATTAAAAAAAAAAAAAAATCATGTGTGAGTGTTAGTGTGAGTGTTAGTGTGAGTGTTAGAGTGAGTGAGTGTTAGAGTGAGTGTTAGTGTGTGTGAGTGTTAGAGTGAGTGTTAGTGTGTGTGAGTGTTAGAGTGAGTGTTAGTGTGAGTGAGTGTTAGTGTGTGTGAGTGTTAGAGTGAGTGTTAGTGTGTGTGTCTGCTAGTGAGTGTCAGTGAGTGTTACTGTGTGTGTCTTACTGAGTGTGTGTGTGTTAGTGAGTCTGTTTGATGTCTGTTAGTGAGTGTGTGTTTGTCAATGAGAGTGTATGTTTTGTAAGTGAGTATGTATGTCTGTCGCTGACTGTATCTCTGTCAGTAAATGTGTGTGTCTGTTAGCTAGTGTGTATGCGACTGTAAGTGTGTGTGTGTGTCTTCAGCACTTACCTTTCTCCAGCGCCGGACTCCCTTGGCGCTGAGGATCCCTCTGCCTCTCAGCTCCGAATGCGACCGCGCACGCATTCAAACCGCCCATAGGAAAGCATTACTCAATGCTTTCCTATGGACGCTCAGTGTGCTCCTCTAGCGGCTGTCCGTGAGACAGCCACTAGAGGCTGGATTAACCCTCAGTGAAACATAGCAGTTTCTCTGAAACTGCTATGTTTTCAGCTTCAGGGTTAAAACTAGAGGGACCTGACACCCAGACAACTTCATTGAGCTGATGTGATCTGGGTGTCTGTAGTGGTCCTTTAAAGGACCACTATAGTGCCAGGAAAACATACTCGTTTTCCTGGCACTATAGTGCCCTGAGGGTGCCCCCACCCTCAGGGATCCCCTCCCGCCCGGCTCTGGAAAGGGGTAAAACTTACCTTTTTCCACCGCTGGGCGGAGAGCTCTCCTCCTCCGATCCTCCTCTTCTCCTCCCCGTCGGCTGTATGCGCACGCGCGGCAAGAGCTGTGCACGCATTCGGCCGGTCACATAGGAAAGATTTCATAATGCTTTCCTATGGACGCTGGCGTGCTCTCACTGTGAAAATCACAGTGAGAAGCACGCAAGCCCCTTTAGCGGCTGTCAATGGGACAGCCACTAGAGGAAATAGGGGAAGGCTTAACCCATTCATAAACACAGCAGTTTCTCTGAAACTGCTATGTTTATGAAAAAATGTGTTAACCCTAGCTCGACCTGGCACCCAGACCACTTCATTAAGTTGAAGTGGTCTGGGTGCCTAGAGTGGTCCTTTAAGTGTGTGTGCATCTGCATGCACTGGCGTACATACCGCGGTCGCAGGGGTCGCAGCCCTGTAACCCCTGCGACCAGGTGCCCACCGCCATGTGTTGCGGCCCGGCCCGCGCGGGGGGGGCCCACGGATCAATTTTCGCACCGGGGCCCCATGGGTCATGTGTACGCCACTGTTCTTGACCTTTGACCTCTGGCATCCTACTTCCAATTTGTGAATTTCCTGGCTTCTGACCTTTGGCTTGACTTTTGACTGTGCTCTTTGCTGCCAGCCCGGACAATTGGACCACCTGACTCCTTCTCCTGTCTGCTCCTTTCTGACTTTATCACCTTCCTCTGTAAATAAAGGCACCTATGCCCTAATAGAAATCACAAGTCTCTGTATCACTCTCGGCACCTGGGAAGGTCATGTTTTCAAGAGGTTTCATTCTATTATAGTTGAGTTTGTCTCCAAGCAAACAAGCTGATAGGTTGTCACAATATGAGCCCCAGTTACTGCAGTACACCAAGTAATATCCAGTAAGCCAGTCACAGTGCAGGACTAGCAAAGGCCCTGTAAATTCCTACTGCCTCACTCCTGTAATACTTTGCTAAAAGACATCCCAGTGCAAGAATGGCATGTGTCTGCAGTCCATAACACCACTATGCTTGTAATTCAGGATCAAGTGCTACCCAACCACCCCTTGTCAGCCCTTCCATGTAGGGGCGGAAATGCTTTTGAAAAGTACACACTTTATGGAGTTTTTCTTGATTCTGGGAACATCCAAAAAAAAAAAAAAAACTAGAACAGAGGTGCATTTCAGGACTTTATCACTAGATTTATGACACTTGGTATTTATTAATGCCACAGTTACCAGGGAAATCTATGCCACACATTTGCAATTTGAATCAATTTCCCTTGTAGTGCAAATAATACATACTTGAAAATGAGAGAAATCTCAATGTATCTTTCCTGGTAAAATATTTTATAAATAAATAAGTATTTCTACATGAAGAATAAATAAATTGTAATTAGTTTCCTTGTTAAAGGGTACTGTCATGAGTTTGCATTAGAAAATCTGTACAGTAACTGCTTTTGGCCACATCGATAACTAAGAACACAGAATCATATTCTGCATGAAAGTTATAGCTGTATATAAAAAAATAAAAAAGCTAAACCTTGCATTCATGAAGAACATTTTTGAGTGCATGTTATGTATAGAAGAAGCTCTGCCAATTAAAATGGGTGGGCTCACACAGAAACTCCCCTAACCAGAGCAAAGGACCCCACCTGCCAAATAATGTATCGGTGAATTTTGGCACATTCTCTACTCAAATTCCATGAATGTAAAAGCAGAACAAAATGTACTTTACTCATTATGGAAATATGCTGGTTAACCATTTAAGGAAAACTGCTTTTATTAATAATCCTATTTTTAAACCATACACTCTTTCTAAGCAAAAAGGAATACAACACTTCTCGAGATTAGGCAACAATAAGCAGTGAAACAGTATTCAAAGAAAAACAAAAAATAAAAAAAAATAACTTTCTTTGCACAACACTACATTAATCTACTCCATGTCCCACAACATTTAGCTACATATACAGCTTTTTAAAAAAAACAAGTTAATCTTCATGTACAGTGTGACAATATGTAAAATCATACATTAAACTAGTTAGAAAAATGCAGTTTTGTACCTCTTTTGTACTTTTGTCAGATTTCCATCGTGAAGTTACGCTTTTCATTTCCGTAGAAGTGACTCAAAGACACAGAAACTCTGTGGGTATCTCTCTGTTCACTTCCTTTTTATCTGAGAGTTGGCGTGAGTGTATGAAGCAAACTCCCAGCTTCCTGCTAAACATCTACCCTCGATTTAGAAATGTTTCCAAGGAACCACAAGTCAAAGAATAATACCAGAGATGTGTAGTGGGTCATAGTAAAAAGCACAAAACATTTCACATGGTGTGTGAGCATTATTCTATTCTGATATTCACAAAAGAGTAGAAATAGCTGCATCACCCGGGGAGATATAGCAGACTTTTATTTATTGTTATTATTGCATTTTCTATCCCACCTACTGTTTCTTTTTTTTGAATGCATTTAGATTCTCCCTTCTTTGCAACTTAATGTAGACTCAATAATAAACCCTGCATTATTGGTCAAGGCTAGCAGAACAGATAAACACTAACAGACGTATTCACTAAAGCGAGAATTCAAAGTGACTTTAAAATTTAAATGCAAAATAGCCAAATTGGAAAAATTCTCTTTCAGCTATGCATCCAGTTTTGTTGGTTTGGGCTTAAATATAGTGAATAACCATGTAAGAGGTTATGCATAAAAAGCATCAGAAATTTGGCAGTTGCCATGGAAACCACTAAAACCAGCAGGCACATTGCATTGGAGAATTTGCCCCTTTTTTTCCTGACCCCAAATGTGGCTTTATTTAAACACTTGAATGGGAAAATCCTGTGATCATTAAGGGGACACTGTCCAAATAAAAAAAAACCCACTAACTATGCCATCAATATACACCAAATGAAATCATGCATTTTTTAAATTGGGGTTTATCTAAAAACAGCTGACAAAACTGCAGAGATCTCATCTACAGCCTTTGCCAGTCCTTCCCTCCTAACCTCGCCCGTACTTTCTGTGGCTATCCAAATACAAGACTTCCTAATGTAGCTCAATAAGAAGTCTCTGCAAGGCAGGTGCTCTAGGCCAGTGTTCACCAACCCAGTCCTCATGGACCACCAGCAATCTAGGGCGTATGGATTTCTCTGTTTTATTCCAATGGAGATACTAACAAAACCTGGACTGTTGGTGGGCCATGAGGACTGGGTTGGGGAAAACTGCTCTAGGCAGTTACCTTGCTAAACGAACAGGTAGCAACAGGGAGGTATAACAAGGTTAATTTAGAAATGTGCTAATTTCTACCGAATCTTCATTTTTTGCAAATAAAGAAAGAAGACACGTCCTTCGTATTTAAAGCATTTCCGCACGATAAAGTGCTTTAGGTGTTTGGAGTGTTCCCAGGCTGTTGACCTGCAGCAAATCCAGGAAATTTGTGTCACGTGATCACTATTACAATGTCGTCACCAAACAATTGTAACATTGGCTTAGACATTGCTCTTTGCCCCTCTTTTCTCACTTTGATCAGAGGCAAGAAAGGCAGAGAGATCATTGTTACAGTGTCCTTTATCAGTAGAAAAAATAAATTTATTAATTTACAAAATGAACCCTTTCCATGCTGATCACAATATTAATCCTGTGATCAGACAAATTAGGGTAATTAGTACCTTGGTACACTTGGTATTTTATTTAGACAGTCTTTTGACCCTGTTTGTCAGCTACAGCAGTTGTATGCTGTAACATGTTTAACCCCTTCCCTGCTGTGCTGTACTGTATCATTGATCATTTTGATCGGAGGGATCAAGCTGTCATTAATTTTTTTTGTTAGTTCTTCTATAAAAAAAAGAAATAAAACAAACAAAAAAAAACATTTTAGTGATGATAGAAGTTGTTTATTCTAGTCATTTTATTTTAATGTTGTGGTTGAGTGTAGGATTTTCTGTGGGTGGAAGTGGAAATTGGAGGATGGGTAGGATAGTAGGTATTTGTGACAGAAGTTCCCATGCCACGGCCATTTGGAGGCTTAAAAGCTGTCTTCTTTCTCACAAACTATGGACCTGGTCCCAGGAGACCATGAAAGAGGCATGTGACAGCAGCAATCAATGTACAAACTATATATTGTTACTTTAATAACTCTGCAGCACCCTCTGCTGACTGACAAGAAGTGTATATTTGCATAATGCTGGTATGCAAACGCGGGCAATGCAATAAGTAGTTAAATGTATATATTATTGTTTTTTAGTTTGTTTAAAAAGTTACTTGCGTTATATAGTTAAGGTATTAATTATAATTGCTTGTTCTCCAATGTTCTATGTATTTGTATTTTAATTGTTTGTCACTACTTGCTTAAGGACTAGTCCCCAAAGGCTAAAGTGTTGATGCCTGGAAGGAGCACTGCAGAGGATTAGGCAGAGGGGATGATAACTGCCTGGAAGAAGAGAGCTACAACCTGGTCAGGTAGAAGAGCTCCAGAGAGACCCCAGTCAAGCTTTGGCGACTGAGGCTGAAGAATTACAGGGTCCCTGTAAACAGCTAGGAAGCAGACTGGACAGAGGGACTTGGTTGGAGTACAGGAGCTCTGTCACATCGGGTGGAAGCAGTGAGATGGTTTCCTAACAATTGGGGAGACTTTCTAAAATACCAAGAAATTGGAAATCAGTTACAATTCCCTCTGTCAAAGATGTTTTACTAGCAAACTTGCTCTTCCGAAACCATCTGCAACCAATGTGCTGCTCAGACATGACTGGTCTGAATGGGAGAAAGCTATGAGGAGTAAATATAAGCTCGGCAATATTTCCACCTGACCGAAACCCCCCTTTTGTTTGACTTACTATTTACCATATATACTACCTACTATTTGACATCTATGCAAATATATATACACCTTAAAAAACTTTTTCATCTATGCATATACATTCATTTAATTATATTCATTTTATGGATGTGAAATGTATTCATTTTTCCCCAGTTTTTCTTTTTCGTTTTTCATTTTTCAGATTTTTCTTTGATTTTGATCTTAATGCTGTTACATATAGTATTGGCATGTTTTCGTATTAAAGATCCTTTTCCTTTGTAAGGAAAAAAAAATAAAAAATACTATGCAGAACTTTGAAGCTAATATGATTTCTTAACTTCTCACACTTTTTTTTAGATTTTATTCATATTAAACTGTTTCATATTAAAAAAATATATTTGATGTGAAATAAAAGCCCTTTCGCCTGGGAAAATTTACATATAAGAAATGAGAGTGCACTTAATATGAATGAGGTAAATTACGGTTGAACAGACATATAGCTCAAATTCTAGGTTTTGTTTTGGTCAGACCTTGTACAATTACCTCTGTCCTTAAAGAGTAAAATCATTACACTGCACTTGAAATCCATTACAAAATGTTCCATATGAGGTGTTCTTGGCTCACTGGCCCATAAGTCATCTTATACAGTGTAGCTAGGGGCAGTTTAGAAAGAGTTAATATTGGTTATTCTGCAGAATAGTGGCATGTAGTGGTTCTCAACCCAGTCCTCATGGACCACCAACAGCCCAGATTTTGTCAGTATCTACATTTGAATAAAAAAGGAAACCACATAAATACTTGACTGTTAGTGGTCCATGAGGACTGGGTTGGGGACCACTGGGTTAGCCAATATAGCCATTGATTGGCTGCATGTAGCACAAAGGCAGCTAAATGGCATAACATTCAGCTATATACTGGGCAGCTACAATATTTAAACAACCTGCCATGTAGGTCCCCCAAATGCTGCCAAAACAGCTCTGATGCATTGTGGCATCGACTCCACAAGGCCTCTGAATGTGTCCTACGGTATATAACACCAAGAAATTAGCAGCAGATCATTTAAGTCCTGCGAGTTGTGAGGTGGGTCCTCCATGGATATGTTGTTCCATCACACCCAACAGATGCTCAATCAGATTGATATCTGGGGAATTTGGAAGCCAAGGTAAAGCCTTGAACTCTTTGTCATTATTATTATGATTTTATTATTTATATAGCGCCAGCAAAATTCCATAGCGCTTTACAAAGGGTGGACTAACAGACACGTAATTGTAACGAGACAAATGGACGCACAGGAACAGAGGGGTTGAGCTTACATGCTAGAGGGAGTGGGGTATAGTGACACAAAGGGTATAGGTAGGGGTAATAGGCTACTAGAAAAGTATTCACTGGGAGCTTAGTAGGTTATTTTTGACATGTTCCTCAAACCATTCCTGAACTATTTTTGCAGTGTGTAATGGTGAATTATCTTACTAAAAGGAGCCCACTGCCATCAGCAAACACCATGGCCATGAAGGGGTGAATGTGGTCTGCAACACTCTCTAGGTAGGTGGTACATATCAAGGTAACATCCACATGAATGCCAGGGCCCAAGATTTCCCAGCAGAACATTGCCCAGAGTATAACATTGTCTCTGCATCCTGCTGCTATGTCTTCCCTATGTAAATGATGAACACGGACCCAGCCATCCACCTGATTTAAAAGACAACATGATTCATCATACCAGGCAACAGTCATAAACTGAATGTGCACTTGCTGCCTAATATATCCCACCCTTGACAGGTGCCATTGCAACAATATAATCAATGTTATTCACTTCATCTGGTAGTGGTTTTATTGTTGTGGGTGATCAGTGTATAATAGTGTGAAATTGCAGGTTTTTGGGTGCAACACTGGAGATTGTGAAGAGGACTAATATTAAAAAGAGTCACTTTGTCACTGGAATCCCTAAAATTCCACACAGGACACAAGTGCCAAAAGGAACTGATATACAAAACATTTATTCGGTTTGGCCCAAATGCTCCTTACATGTAACTTATGGTGACAATTTAAAAAAAATGCATTTAATCAAAACATATCAGAAATCATACAGTAAATTATAATTACACAATAACATATCTACAAAGGGATGGGGAAGTCAATAACCAACACAAAATATCTCTACTGCCTGCAGAATTATCAATATGCAAATATACCTGATTTGCAAATTGACAAGCTCTGCTATTCCGGTAGTGCATATACTTTTTGCTACCAACAGAGGGCGCTATACAGTCTCCATAGCCAAATCCACTTAGTTGGTAACAAGTATGAGCAAAACAAATAACAATATACAAATACATTATAAACACCCTGCACCTACATGGGCACAGGGTGA